TTAGAGGACATTCAATATTATTGTTGATAATTAAAACAAAATTAATGGTTAATGTATTACAGTATAACTTATCTCTTATCTGTCTATAAGTCTATAAATCAAATACAATAAATATTTTACATTCAAATCACAGGAATCAAATAAATTTTACAAAAACGTCAACAAATTGTTAAAAAAGTGGCAAATTATAACTAATAAATTACACGACAAAATAAATAAAAAATATTATAAAAATAATTTTCTAAAAAAATGTCTAATTTATTCATAAAATATGATAAATTATGTTATAATAAACAATACTAAAACACAATTGTGATGAGATTAACAACAAAAATGATGAGCATTATACATGAGCTTTTGTCTTATGTCTAATGTTATGCTATACAGTATATAAAGTATTATATAATAACAATGTTTTCAATGTTGAGAGAGATTAAGTGTTAAAACAGTATAACTCATTAATGTTCGTGAATTATATTCAATGTTAAGAATATTCTGGTTTAGTATTAGTGAAATAACCCAAAAAATATATATAAAACGAGTTTTATTAATATTTATATTAAATTAAAAATGAGTCTACTTGAATGAATATACTTAAAAATACAGTAGTATTAAATTATATGATATGTCATTTAATAGTTTGTGTTACTAATAAAAGTTGCAAATTGTCCAATGATAAAGTCATGTAACAAAATTAATATATTAAATAATATAATAATGTAACACTAATAATAAGGTTCACTTTGAAAATCTATAATTGCTATAATAATTCACATCACGTTTTATTTTTAAGAATATTAAAGGGTGTAAACCACATAAAAGTTATCTAAAATATAATATAATAAAAATGTTTAAAAATTAAATTGAAAATAATGTAATAAATTGACCCAATATTGACCTTAAAAAGAAAAGTATATTATTTTGAAAAAGTCATTTAACCACAAAACATTTTATAATAATAATAATAATAATATTTTATCTAAAAAATAAAATCTATAGGATATATAAAAATAAAATATTAGATATTAATCACATTGTCCTTCACACTGATATTTGATTATGATTTGGCATAAAAGCTGTTTTTAAATAAAACAAAAGTCAATCCATGGGTAAGCATATAATGTAAATATTTATAGCAAATAGAGTGAATTTTTTGTCTTTTAATAAAACATTAAATGATTGAGAAATAAAAAGGTAATTTTATAGACATTTTATATAATCATTGAATCACAAAATGTTAAAAAATAATATTTGTGTGGGACAACAGTGGGCGATACGGAAAAAAGTAATTAAATATTTAATTATTTTCTATAATATAATATTTAAAAAACATCAAAATAAATCAACAAACACTTATTAAATTTTAATAAGTAGCAAAATTATAGATTATTTATATATCAAACTAAAAATGTAAATTAATTTTAATAATAATAATTATCATAAGTTAATATAAAATATTTACGTTAATATTTATGAATTTTTGTAATTTATCCTTTTAACAATATAATATCCGTAAATTTCATGAATTATATTCTATAATTTATAATCTACTTTATATTATAAATATATAATACTATAACCAATAGTATATCTATCTAAATGTGAGCGTCTATTGATATAACCTAAAGAATCACGCAATGTATAGCACACACACACACACACACACACACACACACATACATACATACATACATACATACATACATACATACATACATACATACATACATACATACACACACACACACACAAACAAACAAATGTATTTAACTATCTTCTTAACAGTTGAATGAGTGAATTGCTAAAAATAAAAAATGATCATAATATATATTGTAATATATATATAAATATATAAATTATTATATTTTTTATATAATATTTGTATATATCTATATGTAACTTTTTTAATAAATAATATTTTGATGTAAATTATAAATTTTAAAAATCACTTTTACTTCAATTTTTCTTTAAAAGTTTTAGAGAAAAAAGATGTGATAAATCTTAGTTTGTCGTCAATTGAGAGGTAGTAGTAGTAGTAGTAGTAGTAGTCAAACACAGCAACAGTATAGTGTGTATGTATGTATGTGTGTGTATGTATGTATGTGTGTGTATGTGTTTGTGTTTTTGTGTGTGTGTGTGTGTGTGTGTGTGTGTGTGTGTCTGTGTTTGTGTGTGTGTGTCTGTGTTTGAGCTAACAGTTCTCTAACAGACTTGCGACACGAGAGTTGCCAGTAATAGGAGCTCATCAGTGATGCGATCAATAACTATGACAGCAATGGTTGTCTCGATGTTTGCCTCGCATTTCAATCTATTTTACTCTCAGTTGTTGTCTATTATTGTTGAAACACTTTTACACTAAACTTAAGCCAAATCTTTCTTCTTCTATATATTGTTATCATTCATACGATTTGTTTGTTATACAATACTATAGATTTATGTATACATAAATTTAAATATTTTTTTTGTTGCTGTTATATGATATTATTGAAGTTTGAAAACAACAAGAAAAAATTTGTTATATAATGTTTAAAACAACTTTTAAAGTGTATTCATTTTTATTATGTGATGTTAAAAAGTTATGTTATCAAAGTGTTAACAGTAAAAGTCAACACAAGTTTTCATTAAAAAGTTAATTAAGTTAATAAATTCAAAACATAAATTAAGATAACATTTTTAGCAACTATTAATAAAATAGTTTTCCAAATAGTTTTGAAAGCTATTGATATTTTAAATACTAAAACTTAATTTCAATATATTTGGAGTGTGTTTTGTGATGCAATATTTAAAATGTTTATACCTTAAGTTTATTGTACAATAACTTACTATATGTTAATATAGTATAGTTTAGATTGTAAGCTAAAATGGAAATGATATATTGGATTCAATATTGCATTTCTGGACTACTATTGACAATATTGTGTATTATTGGCCTTTTAGGCAATACATTAACGCTTTATATATTGAATATAAATCAAGGTATCTTTACATTTAATATTTATTAAGTACTATATTTGACTTAACATCATAAATGTGTGTGTAATTTGAATATAACTTAAATGCTTAAAATAGATATTATAATAAGTGTATGATAAAAATCACAATATTATAGAAGCAATTATGAATATATATATATATATATATAGTATTATTGTTTATATAATTTTAAAAATCCCACTCGTATACAGGTATTTGTGTAGTACAATATATAAAATATTATTTAAGATTATTATTATATTTAAATAATTATTAATTACAAAATTTTCTCAGAATTTGTTATTATCAATTAATTTCTTAAAATAGAAAATTTAATCAAATAAACAATACTATATTATCAAATTAATTTTAATATCTAAATATATATATATATAATTTAATTAATTAAAAATCTTAATAATGGTATTTAATTAATAAATTTCAAAAAATGTAATTTAAAATATTATATATTAGTGTAATTACTATACATTATTAAAACTGTATAAAATATGACAATTTTAATAGTAAATGACAAAAAATACTTAATAAAAAATACATGAATATATTTTATATTTTCAAATATTAGATTTTATAGTAAAAACAATAATTTTTATATAATTATTGATTATTACAGTATTAATTTATTATCTGTTATTTTAATTTAATTTTTATTATTAAAAAATTATTAATATTAATATGGTATTTTAACTATAATATAAGTATTTAATAAAACTTAACTTTCAATTAGTTAAATTATATTAGTATTAAATTTAGAAAATTCTTTATGGAATATATTTTACATAAGATTTTTTTGAGAATAAATAACATAAAAATTGTAGAATTTAAAGTAAAAAATAAAATAAAATTTAGCATTAATAGAGTATTTTAAAATAATTATATATATATATATATATTTATTTGTAAACTTAAACTTAATTATAGATAAAACATACATTCAGTAAACTAAAAAAAGTTCAAATTCTTTACTGATGACAAAAAACAGAATATGAATTATGTATGACTTTATTTCTATAGTCATATATAAAATATATTATTTAATTAGACTGACCAATGATACAATTGGTATATGTATTATATAGAAATAGTATCTTATAGAATAAAGGTTAGGGTCTGACCCGTGTAATCATATTAAAAAAAAATTAATCTACAAAATGTAATTTTTTTTATATTAAAACTAAAATATTATAATAAATTGAAAATTTTATTTGAGGCGTTAACTCAATTATTTGAATTGGTTTACAAATAGTGATTCTAATTAAAACTAATGAAATTTTTTTTTTAAAATGAAGTAAACATAAAATTTATTGAAACATTTGTGTACAGGTCATACTATAGTATAATATATGTGATGATAATTTTTATTACATTAATGAGATAATGCAATTTAGTTTTATTAAAAATTAAGGTTTTTAAAAATCTTTTAGTCCAATCTTTATTTAACAGGCAATTTAAGTTTGAGTACATTATAGTTAATCTAATGGAAAAATTCAAAGTTAATTTTATCAAATTAATACCCAAAAAAAACAACGATTAACCAACACATTACTCAAGAAAACAAAAATCAATGTCAGTTAAGTAAAAGACCAAAACACAACCTCTAGTATTGATTAAAACCATTTGATATAATGATAAAAATTGCATCATTAATGAGAAACGGCTTCAATTTCATATTGGGTTTTAACAAACAAACAAAACTAAAATGAATTTCGTGACCAAATTTGAGAGTTCAATGCATTAATAATTAATAATACTGTAGTTTAGATAAATTTATCTTTCTATATATTATTTATATATATTTATGTATATACTGTATATATAAATTTATATCAATGTATTAGGAGTAGTTGTTTTGAAATAAAATATAAAAAACATGACATAAAAACACTTGTTTGTAAACACAAACAATAAATAGTTTTTTATTGAATATAATACAATAATTTATCTAAATTTTAATAATATAATTAATTAATTATATTTTTATATATTTTTATTAAAAACAATAAGATATGCGAAAACAATCGATAAACATATACCTAACAGTTTTGGCACTTTATGACAATGGGGTTCTCATATTTGGTATATTAATGTTGAGCGTACCGGCGCTTCATATAAACCCCAATCAAATGGGCGACTCAACGTCGCCGACAATATCAACTGGTGAAGACATGTCATCATCGATGCCATTGAATGAACATTTAGACATAATAAGCGACACAACAAATAGCACCTATTTATCATATATTTCACAAAAAATGCTATTTTGTAACAAAAGTGCAATTTATTTGCCAAATAAATTGACTTTTATTTTAAATGAAACAGATTTTGTCGATAATAGTGATGATTGTATGGATTTTAATGTCAATGAAGATAACAAACCTAACTATCAATATCACAATCCTTTACAATATTACATACGTATTGTCTATCCGTTAGCATTAATATCTCAGACCGGATCCATTTGGACGACATGTCTGATAACAGTCGAGCGATACCTAGCAGTTTGTCATCCCTTAAGATCATTAACATTATCGACCCGTTCCCGAGCCATCTGGGCGTTGACCGCTCTGTCGATCGGTGCTTTTGTCTACAATTTACCGCGTTTTGCCGAAATCGATATGACGGAAGATTCTGTTAGACAATCGGATCTGAGAAAAAGCAAACTTTATTATTGGTTTTATTATATAGTATTGAATTTGTCACTCATTTATATCATTCCTCTGACTCTGCTAAGTGTCCTCAACACCAAAATCTACTTAAGTGTCAGAATAGCCACCGCTAATCGTACTGAGCTGACCCGTGCCCGACAACGTGAGCTTAATTTAGCCTCAATGCTTACATTACTTGTCGCTATATTTATAGGTTTGTCTATTCATTTATGTATATTAGTAAATATAATAGCATTACTGTCATAATATAGATATGTTATATAACATTAAATGTAATTATATAATAAAACAATGTGTTAATAATTATGATAAAATGTAAGTTTAATGATGACTTGTGATAACTTTTATAGCTTGTAATGCACCGGCATTTGTGATCAATTGTCTGGAACTAATCAAACCGGACTACTTGGCTGTTCCCACAATGTTTTCCAATGTTTTAGTTTGTCTCAACTCTGCCATCAATTTTCTTATTTATTGCATATTTGGCAAAAAGTTTAGAGAAAAACTTAAAGAAGTGTTCAAATGTAGGTATAGAAAAAAATTGAGAAAAAGTAGTGCCAATCGTCAGCACTATTACTTTGGGGGCAGTTGTGCTGCCGATACCTTTGTATGAACAACCATTACATACACTTATCATCCTATCTATCATTTTATCATTAAAAATATTATTTATTGTTTTAATGTTTATTATTATTATTATATTATTATCTAACCAAACACTGTAACAATTTATATTTATAATTATTGTAAAAATAAATATACATTTATTTATGTAAATAACATATTATATTATATATATAAATATATAAATTATATGTTAATCGACTGTTAAAATATTGTAAATTGTTTATTAAATTTGATAAATTACAATATTTAGTAACACAAATCTTTTTATTAAGACTTTTATTTTAATTTAAACTGTTTTACTTAATAAAAAAGTAATTTATAATTTACTAGAGTTTAGTTCAAAATTGTGTTTACACTAAATTTTGACAAAAAATTATTACTTATTGATATTGCAATAAATCATTAGACAAATCAATAAATAATTTAGTAAATGTATATAAATATCTGAAAATACTGAACAGTATTTTATTTTACTTTTTATTGAAACAGAACTTAAATTAAAGCCAAAAATACTATTTATATTATAATTTATTTTTTGTGAAATATTATTTATTCAAACAAATAGATACCTAATCTAATATAATATATTTTATGTTACAATATGTTAATAGCATTATAGTTGTCATTCCTTATGCAGTAATAAAATAATCTCTATAATAATATTTTTTAATTTTTAAAAATAATAAATACTTTGTATATTATTAAAATAAAAAAATTATTTTATTAAATAATATTCTTAACTAATTATTATTATTATTATAATATCTAATTAATCTATTAGTGTGGCTAATAAATAATGAAACGAATTGAAATAATTCAGATAATAACAGACTTAATACAATTTTTTTATTAATATACAAATAGCAAAAAATATTTAAAAATTAAAATTATGCTATTTTGTTACGACAAAGTTAGACCTAATTTTTGAAAAATAATTTATGAAATATTAAAGACATAATAAATATACTTAAACTCATTAAAAAATAAAAATCAAATATAAATTTAAAATTACTATTTTGTTTTTAAAAATTTATCTTAACTTTAAATGTAAAAATTTCAAGCAAACTAAACAGTTATAAACTGATAAAAATATTTTTGCTTATAATTCCGAAAACTTTTTAAACTAAGATATTAAACTTATATTATTTTTATAAGTGATAATTAAAGAAAATATGAACATTGAAACTAATTTATAAAACATTATAGAAATTTAATTATTTGTCATACACTTAATGCAACAATTTTGTCTTATTATTTATTATCAACAGTAATAAATTAATATAAAAAAGTAAGTTGCTGACTTTTGTACAAATAAATTAAATTTCATATTAAGTTATGTCAATAACTAATGCAATAAAATATATTAGTAAATATAAAATCATATATTTTAATAGTATGTTTGAAATGTGACCAGCATACATTTAAATATTAATATTATATATATACAGTACGGGGACTCTAAATTGTAATATTTTAATTAATATTTTAATTAATTATTTTATATGCATAATGTTTTTAATATGATTGCCATATACTTGAAAGGTTTGTATCCTTTTTTTAAATAAAATTAATTCTCTTTGAATGACTTCTTGTGTTAAACTTTTCCACTCCTTTTGTAAAACTTTCCAAAGATCTGACAGTTTAATAGGTTTACATTTAATAACCCTTTTTAAGAAGTAAATAAAGTAAACCATTTTATGTTCATTTTTCTCGTAAATAAGTAAATATTTCTATATATTGATTGCAAAAAAATAATTAAATACTAAACTGAATTGATTTTAATTTTAATGATATTAATGGAAACGCCGGCGACAATCATAAAACTTCTGAGATTTTATTAAATCTTTACGCGACAACCGCGCGGTTTATTGGGTAAAAACGCTATTTTTGTAAACTTATTGGATATTTGTCTTAAATATCAATACACTACTGATATATACTTCACATTTTCATACTTTTGTTAAAAAAATTATAACTCTAGTTAATACAAAATATGAAAAACATTGACTGGAAAGGTATACTTTGTAGTAAACATCTGATGATTATAATATTTTTAAAGACATGTTTACACCAATAAATGATATATTATCGTATAATAAAGCTTAGACATAGACTACAGTTTTATAAAATAATTTTTAAAAAATTATTAACAAATTTGTTACAGTTTTACATACCATTACTGTACAATATATTGTAATATTCGATATTAATGAAATTAATAATAATAATAAATTTATTTATTTAAAGTTATATAAAATATTAATTTTCAACTAGATATAATAACTAATTATTTATTTTAATGTTATTTTAAATTTATATATTTTACAAGCTATTTATATTTATAATTAAAATTAGTAGAAATTTTAGCATATTTTAAAATAAAAATTTTAATCAAACAAAAATTTAATATAATATATATTAAAAATATGCATTTAATATTGAATAAAAATATTCAGAAAACATTATTGGCTTAATTATAAACTTTAAAACATTTGTACAATTATTATGAATAATATTTTCATAAACACATTTATGTTAAATACTTTGTTTTTTAAAGTATATTATTAAGTAAATTTAGTAATTTAAATAAAATAATAATTTTTAAGTTTTTATAATTATTCATTATTAAAAATAAATTTCTAACATTTTAATGTTATTTTAAATAAAAATTGTATAATTAATATTCAGTATATTAGATAACAAAATTTGTTTGTTTTACAATTTGAATTTTACTTTAAAAAATAAGTTTTTTTAATAAATATTTTTCTTTTGGTATTCAATTATAAAATATTTAGTGTTAAAAATTTTAAATATTGAAATCACTTATTTGATAAATATAAAATTAACATTGAGATATAAGCAGTAATATTTAAAAAAAATATGAAACATGAATTTCATACTTATTTAATTCAATAATTTCATTAAATAATAAATGATTGCTTGATAAGCATAACTCAATTATTTTATATTATTTATGCATTAAATTATATATATTTGTCATACTATATAATATATAATAATAAGGGATTTGTTATAATTATAGTATATATTATTAAAGATCGCTAAAATTCCTTCCCTTTATTTATTTTCCAAAAGTTCCTTATTTTCCTTGTTCTCAGTGAATCTATTTCCTTGAGCCACAACCTATTGAACCCTAAACAACACATATTATTATTATTTATGAAAAACTAATGTTATATTAAACTGTATATTGAATGGTATTGTTAAGTAGTTTTTATAAATTTATTCAATTAAAATTTATTTTTAAATATTTCAATAAAATTTTATGCAAAATATTTTAGTTTTAGTACTACTTAAAAGTATCATATTTATTGTAATAATATAAAATATATTTTTGATTTCTAACGATTAAAGGAGAGAAAATAAAATATCCATATTTTCCGGGAAAATTGGAGTGATTTTATCAGAGAATTCCCATCCATGAGAAAGTTGTTTGAATATATATTATAGAAATATATTTTTATAAATATTTATATTAATATTTAAAAAATTTATTACGATTTTTAGAAAAACATTATGATATAAAATATATTAAAGTTTAACAATCAGTACTTATTGTCCTTAAATGAATCTTGAGTATTTTAAATATTTCTTGTATAACTAATTTAAGTAATTTAAATTAAGAATTAAAATCTTTATATAAATTTTTATAAAATAATTTAAATTATTTACGTAATAATATAAATTAATTAAATGACATTAAAAATTGTTATTATTTTAGATAGAAATGAATGTAAATGTTAACAAATGACATTTATTTTGCAATCATTTCTAAAAAAAGATAAACAATATAATCTAAATTATGTATTATTTATTTCATATAAAACTTCATAATAACAAACATCGCTATCAAACATACAAACCTTTCATCAATAAAATAGCATAAAATAGTTAAAGAAATTATTTTTATGGTTTACATAATTTTAAATATGTTTTAAATGAAACAAAATTATAAACTGTGTGCACAAACTAAACTTATTTCATCTCTAATTGTAAAAGATTGCGACAATAAAAGCAAATTATTAGTATTATTAAAGTAAAAGGCAATAAAATTTTATTGTAAAACGTGAAATGTTTAACAAACACTTATATTTTATCTTAAATTTTTGAATTTATTTTTTTGGTCACTAACTTTGAATATATTAATACATATAATATTTTAACTGATAGTTTTATTGATTGACAAAATGAAAAATATCTAAAATGTAGAAAATTTCTACAAAGTTTCTAAAAGGTATTACTTTTTGTGTGATTTTCAATTTATTTAAATTTCTTTAAATTAGAATTTCCTAAAATATATTGAATTTAAATCTTTTTTAATAAAAGATGAAAAAATATAATTATTTTTTGAAAATTTTGTTACCATTTTTGTCAACATAACAATCAATAGTTATTTGTTGATATTAAATAAATAGTTCATTAAATTATTTCAATCAATTGGGAGTTATAATCAACGATATCATCAAAAGATAAAGATTTTCGTTCACTGGTTTTGATTAAAAATTTATTTCAGAGAAATTTTCAAATAAAATATTTTTAGAAATATTTTTTTATATTTATTTATCTCTAGTTGTTTACATCATTCAATCGATATATTTTTGATTTTAAGTTTCATTTACTTTACATATTTATTATAGTATTTATAGAGTTTTTATTCAATATTATAGCAAATATTTCAATTTTTATATTTCGTTTAAGAGGTTAGATCTAATGGGCGTCAATACAAATGGTCGATACATAATAAATATAGATTTACTTACAATTTATTGATTATAAAAGTTGATTTTAAAAACATATAGACATACATTCATACATTTTACTAATCAATTATTGTCTCTATTTATTTATTTAATATTATTTTTAAATATAATTATATAATACTTATCTATATTAAACAATTGACTTTTATTATGAATAATTGTATTTTATTAAAAATAAAATTTTAATTCCATAAAAGTATAAATTGTCTAAATATTGTTAAACTTATAGTTGTATATAATTAAAATACTAATATATCGAAAAATGTAATCATTGTTAATTGTTGGCTTAGCAATGGATAATTTACTAAATTATTTTTGATTTAGATTCAAATTTTTAGAATTAAATAGTTTCTCTCTCTCTCTCTCTCTCTCTCTCTCTCTATATATATATATATATATAATTAATTAAACTACAAATAACTATAAATGTTGTGATTATGAACTAAGTTTTAAGAGGATTGTTAGCGACTAACACATGGTTTTGACGTTTTTATACATAAATATAATATAAAGTGATATCAACGATAAGTTATTTAAATTTAAGCATTCAATAAATATTTCAAATATGAATAAAAAAATCAATTATTCTTAATAAGCTATTAATAATTGTGATAAACAATTTTGTGCACATGTTTTGAATAATTGAAAAACATTTCTGTTTAAACAGTATTTTAATCAAATCTACAAAAAACTCCATTTACTAAAATACAGTGTACTGTATAAATAAAAAATAAAATGCATAATTTAATGCATTTTATAAAATAAATGCATAAAACAATATGTAGATAAATTTTATATATTAAACAAAATCGTAAAGGCGATTTTGAATTTTTTTTTTTTTTGATTTTATTATTTAAGATTTAAATTTATTTATTTATTAAGTAAATTAAATTAGCTTTTTATAATCTAAATAATTTATCACTGAAAATAATTTTATTATCAAATGAAACTATATACAGTATAAAACTAAAAATTATATATTTTTTGTTTTAAAAATTTTATTACCTTAACTATGATATATTTTAAATGTGAATTATTAGTTCTCAATGATTTTAATCAAAAATTAACTTTTATTATTAAAATATTATTAGCAATGTTGTAATGTCCAGTATTATCAATAGCTAAAAATAAATTAAATTAAACATATTTTTAATGTAATAAATTATTTTTAATTACCTTATATAATATATATTGTATAAAATAATTATGTCTATACTATTCAATATAAACTATATAACTGATTAAATTCATAAACTAAAGTTAATTGTAAAATATTCGAACAAACTTTTTTTTTAAAAAAGTAGTTCACTATATCTATATATATATATATATATATATATATATATATATATATATATATATATATATATAAAAAATCTATATATATGTGTGTGTGTGTCTGTCGCTTTCAAGTTGCGAATTTTGAAATTTTGATTTCAGTTTCGGTTATATCATCAAAAATAAGGTATAGAATACATTCATTAAAATTTTGATATCTCTTCGGGAACATGGAAAAAATGGCGGCTAAAGTTAAAAAAAAATTTAGGTAAAAATTTTTAACGTTTAGAATTGCATAGAGAATCAAAAATAAGATATAATAAATCAAAATTATTTTTTTAAAAATGGCGGCTAGTATAAAAAATTAAAAATAATTTTAACGTTAGAATTGCATAAAGCATCAAAAATAAGATATTAAATTAAAATTATTTTTTTCAAAAAAATGGCGGCAAAGTATAAATAATTAAATATATGGTAATATATGGTAATGTATGGTAATGTATGGTAATGTATGGTAATGTATGGTAATGTATGGTAATGTATGGTAATGTATGGTAATGTATGGTAATGTATGTATGGTAATGTATGGTAATGTATGGTAATGTATGGTAATGTATGGTAATGTATGGTAATGTATGGTAATGTATGGTAATGTATGGTAATGTAAGGTAATGTATGGTAAAGTATGGTAATGTATGGTAATGTATGGTAATGTATGGTAATGTATGGTAATGTATGGTAATGTATGGTAATGTATGGTAATGTATGTAATTCTAAGTTTATATTAATATAAAAGTAATAGAGTAAATTATTTTATAATTTAGTTTTATACTACACATGACAAATATAAAGTTTATTTGTATAACTAAATTATTTGATACCCGATATGACGATATGACTATAGTTGAATTTACTTTCTCATTCTGAAATTTGATACGCAACATGCCTATAGTTGAATTTATTTTGCTATGCTGAATCATTAGATACCCTAAATGCCTATTGTTGAATTTATTTTGTCATGCTCAATCATTTGATACCCAAAATGCCTATAGTTGAATTTATTTTGTCATGCTCAATCATATGATACCCAAAATGCCTATAGTTGAATTTATTTTGTTTTACTCAATCATTTGATACCCAAAATGCCTATAGTTGAATTTATTTTGCCATGCTGAATCATTAAATACTCTAAATGCCTAGTTGAATTTAATTTCTCATTCTCTATCATTTCATACCCAACATGACTATTGTTGAATTTATTTTGTCATGCTCAATCATTTGATACCCAAAATGCCTATAGTTGAGTTTATTTTGTCATATTTAATCATTAGATACCTTACATGCCTATAGTTGAATTTATTTTGCCATGCTGAATCATTAAATACTCTAAATGCCTAGTTGAATTTAATTTCTCATTCTCTATCATTTCATACCCAACATGACTATTGTTGAATTTATTTTGTCATGCTCAATCATTTCATACCCAAAATGCCTATAGTTGAGTATATTTTGTCATGCTCAATCATTTCATACCCAAAATGCCTATAGTTGAGTATATTTTGTCATGCTCAATCATTAAATACCCTACATGCCTATAGTTGAATTTAATTTCTCATTCTGAATCATTTGATATCTCTAATAATTTTAAATTATTATTCTATAATAAAGTGCGAAGATATTTTATGCCATCAAAGTTTGTTCATGGCAATGCTTATAGCATTTTCAACTGGTTTAATCTATATTTAATTAATTCATTAGTGATAAACAACTAAATGTCAATATAAATGTGTAAAACTGTATTATATTATTATACATATCTATTACTCAATTAGTCAATCCATTTGAAGTTATTTAACTATTTTTACCGATATATCGGAGATTCAGTTCATATTAAATATATGTAAATATCGTATATAAAAATAAGAGTAAATATACATAATTTTATTTCACCTATAAATATATTTCTAAGCCGTTATTAATTTTAATCAAGTTTTGCTTAATTTTACACAATTTTAGTCATAATAATGAAGAGAAATCAATCATTAAATAATGTGATTACTAATTATTACATAATAGTGATCACAAAAACATTTAATATTATATGATTTGATTGAAAACAAAATTTTTGTCTTACAATTGTTGACAATAAACGTATTTTTTTCATATTATAAATTGATTTTACATTAAAACAAATTAAATTTTGATAAAATATTCAAAAAATTAAAGTATAAATTATAATACAAAACCAGTTGAGAATTCTAGAAAGCATTTCCATACGAACTCCTAATCCTAATTAAAAATTAAATTCATGACAAAATAAAATAAAAATTTAGTTACCATTTTCTCGAAGTTCTTGGAGATAAAAATTTAAATGCAGATGACTTATACATTATTATTTTTGATGCTTTACACAAATCTAAATTTAAAAATTAAAAAAAAATATTTTTTAAATTTTCGGACGCCATTTTGTCTATGTTCTGATGAAATATCAAAATTTCAATACTGATCTCATTTTTGATGCTTTATCTGAATCTGAAATCAAAATTAAAAAATTCCAATTTTTTTTGAGACGGAAATATAGAATTCAGATTTCAGATTTTCAAGAGTTCGTGAAAATATCTGAAATTATTTTTACTAAAAACTGTTTGAAAATAAATAACTTTTAAGTTATTATTTGCCTATTTTTTACTAACTTTTATAGTGACTTAAACCTATTTTTATGACCTGTAAATAGACAGCCTATATATTACTATTACCATAATTTTACGCACTTTTTATAGACAATAACAAACTATTAATCATTTGACAAACATTTATCGCAATTAATATTTTATAATTATATAATTATTAAATTAACAAATGATTATAAAATTAAATTTTTTATTATAAAATACTGTATTTTCTAAACTTTATAAAATAATTTGTTGAATACATAATTCATTCATACATTTATTGCTAAACATATGATTGCAATTTGTATTATATTTAGTGCAAAAACATTACAACAAATATTGAATGCAATGTTAAACATGTTATGCCATCTAATGATAGCATTAGTCATACAATTCATGTATTGATTGATTGAATGAATGAAATGTAAAGACAAGTCATTGTAAATATGTTTCAAAGACTTTTTAAATCAAATCAATTGATTTTAAATCATTGTATAAGAAATGTAAGTAATTTGCAATCATTTGGTCGCTTGAGTTACGGCACAAAAGCCACACAAAGTACAGACACGAGTGGATCGACATCGAGAGTGTCAAAGAAGATACAGGAAATTGAAGACAGACTAAGTGCTGATCCCAATAGTCCATTGGGAAGACTGAAGAGGACACCGAAAGGTGATGTAAACACTGACGCTATAGTCAATGACCACCAAACAGACGGTGACAACCCTTTTGCCGCATTTGAAGACGGAGTAAACCCAACAACTGGCGAGAGAAACGGTCCGACGGGTCCCGAACCGACCCGTTATGGCGATTGGGAACGTAAGGGAAGATGTATTGACTTTTGATACTTAACTGTCAATTGTTATTAACAAATAGTCTTCACTTCTCATTATAATTGTTTAGTTAATTGGATTAACTATTAATAAATAATTAAAAGTAAAACTCTTACCAATTGGACACTTGATATTAGGCTTTGAATAGTATTGATATGACATTCATTGTTAACTTAATGACAGAAATTTTATAATTAAATTATTTGCTAGAATTAAAAGCTCACAAAATTAGGTTTTTATTTATTATATTATATTTTAAATTTTATACAATATTTTGTAAAAATAATAATAAATAAATAAATTTGAATTAATAACTAATATTTGTTTAAAATGACAATTGAATGCATAGTGAGATATATACTGAACAATATTTATATAATTGTTGTATATTTTAGTTTAATTAATGTATAATTTTTTTAAAGGATTACAACTCATATATAAGCCTTTAATAGGTTTTTGTTCGCTCCGACCAATCATTACATAAACAGTTATTTTTTTATAAACTACTTTATTAATAGTCTAATTATTTTTTTCAAATTTACTTATATTTCAATTAATTTTGTTATTATAGCCGAAACTTAAATAGTTTTAGTTTTTTCTTTTATCAAACACTAACGCTATTAACTTATATATAAATAATCAATTGATCACAAAAAAAGAGAGATTGAAATTAGATAATTAGTTTATTTTGTGTGAACTAACAGCAAATAAATTGATTGATTGAGTGATTGATTATCGGCTTGAAATATAAGCTATGAACTAATAATTAGACTTACATTAGATATTGTAAATAAATTAAATTAAGAGAGAAAAAATAATTAATAAAAAATGTTGTTTAATCTACATTTTGTGAGCGTTTATAAATGCATAAGTTTGCACCAAAATTATAATTATTAATAAATAATTTAAAACAATTTATTTTTCTAGTAATTTTTCAATCGTTTTACAAAAAGGCACCGTTTGTTGACCGCATATATCAAATGTAAAGAACTCGTTAATACAAAAAAAAAATCAATAAATGTTTGTTTGTGTTATCTGCAGATATTTTTTTGAGTCCATAATGAAATATATACGATACACAAGAGTTTGTTAATAATAATATTTTTTTCATAAATTTTATCATTATTAATAAATTAATTAAACTTTTTTAAAACAGGAATTTATAATATTTTTTAACAAATATCATCAAAAATCAAACATCATCTTTTTTTAGTAGAGCACCGAAATATACAATATATTCAATATATATATATATAACGTAACAAATATAACTTATTATTAATTATCATTGTTTTAAAATATTAAATAATCAATAGATTCTTATAAATGCAATACTTATTATTATTATCTTCATTATTTTTATTTAATATTATTTTATCAGTAGTTTTTCAAATCCAAAAAAGTATAAATTATATTTATATATATATATATTTTGATTGTTTCAAAAGGAATATATATTTATATATATATATATATTAATAATAATATTATTATAGTAAATATTAACCTATATTTTAATACTAAATGGTGTGTAGATTTAAATTAGTTTAATTCTATGAGTTTTTTTGTGATCAATGAATACATAGTATTTCAATGATTTTTTCTATTATAAACTTTAATTGATTTATTTGTAAAAACGCGATATTATTGTATAATACAATTGAAGTGATTAATGTGTTTTATGAAGTTTCAATGGAAATTAATAGATAGTACAGAATTAATTAAAACTGAGTGTATTTATAATCAATTATAAAATTAATATAAAAATAAATGACAAATTAGAGACTTACTGTATGTACTGACTTACATAATGTAAGCTACATTTAATAAATTTGTTAAATATTTGTTACTATATATTACATATATATATATATACATATAATAAAGTAATATAATATTTAATAATATATACTTAAATATATTAATAAACTCAATTCAAATTTAATAACTTTTAGTATATATATATATTAATAGATTAATAATTGCTGTCCAATTTTAATTAAGAAATTTTTTGAGTTTAAAAATTAGCAGATTTTGTTTTTCATTTATATAACACTAATACATATACTGTATATTTATAATATTTGTTAGTTTTATGCATAAAACGCGTGCTTAAAATGCACGTACAATACATATTAAGAATATTCTGTTTAATAATGAGATGTATATTTGAAGAGAGATTTTGTGCACATTTTTTGTTGCTTTTTATAGCAATTATTAATTAATGTATATTTATTATTATTATTATTATTATTATTAACAATATTTAGATGATTTTTGTTTTGAATAAAAAGTGCAAAACTGGTCTAAATATTTCTTGCGATTAAAAAATAATCGATCGATCGTTGAAATGTTGATAGGATTTGGAGTCCATTTAATTATTTTAATTATAAGTAGATTTTATATATAAAAAAAGTATGAAATAATTGATAAATATTTGATAGAATGGGAGATCATTGATGAAAAAATTATTAATAATAACAATAATAACAATTATAATATCAATACTAATAATAATAATAATTATCACATTAGTTGTATGTGAGAGATGTCAGACATCAGTGAAACGACTGCTTGAAATACTTGGCGATCGGGAATGAATGACCACTTTGTGCCCATATTTGGTAACATTGCCGTCACTTTCGACAAGAATAGCTGTCGACTGCATGACTGACAAGTCATCATCATTTGCACCGTCAGTCTTAGCTCTATCACGTCTTTCCTTGTAATCTCTCCAACACTGTTGTATAACTGTAGAGCAATAGCCCTCTCTTTGTCGCCACAAAGTACTGCTGATGTGTTCAAACTCACCCAACTTCACGGGAGCCACTTCTGCCAACTCAGCCGTCTCTTCGATGACGTGACCCTTTCGGGCAAAAAAGTCTTTGGTCAGTGCGTCTAAAATGTCGACACAATAGCACATATCTCCCACACAAATGGGAATATCCATTGATATTAACTTATATTTATTAGGCTTAGGTATCTGAAGTGGTTCTTCCAATGCGTTAACAAAGTCAGACAATGCATGAAATGGTATGAATTGAGTGCCTTTCGGATCAAACTTTTGCCAAATTTCATAATACATTTCATAGTCATCATCGGTAAGTCCTTCGTGAACATCTTCTGTAGCCTGACTATAGTTCTCTAAGATGACAGCGATATACATATTGATGATAATTAAAAAGCCTATAATGAGATATGAGACAAGAAAGGCGATAGCGATGGGACGGTTCCCACAATTGCCCTCAAAGTCCCCCTTAGGAAGTTCACATCGGGTCTCATCCATAATAGCTTCTAATACTTCACTCCAACCGGCGGACGTCGACATTTGAAATAATAGGATGAATGACTTGAAAAAAGTGCCAAAATTGAATGTCTCGTCTATACCGTAGCGTTGCTTTACATTCATGAAGAACGACATCCCGAAGATGGCGTATATGAAGATCACAAGAAACAGTAGCAAACAGATGTTAAAGAGCGCCGGCAAAGACATCGCCAGTGCGAACAACAGAGTTCTTATGCCACGCGCGCCCTTCACTAGACGTAAGACACGACCGACTTTGACAACACGGACCACACGTAACAGAGTCGGCGAAAAGAAATATTTTGCAATTAAATCTTTGAGAAGAACACCTGTTTTGTGATCACAAATCAAAGACAAAATATATTTTCAGATATTATTGTTTTATAAGTTTTTATAATATCAGTGATAGTTATACCTAATATAGAGAGGAGGACGACAACAAAGTCAAACATATTCCACGGCTCTTTGAAATAATGCCACCGAAGACCAAATATCTTGAGCATACATTCAGCTGTGAAGACTGCGATGAAAAACAGATTGAGCCGTTCGAGGACCAGGTTATAGGTTTCGGACGCCTGGAACTGTTCCATTGCCATTATTATCATATTAAGAGCAATGAATAACATGATAATCATATCAAACTTCTTGTTTGTGGTCACATCAAAGATTATTGCTTGAAGTTTAAACTAATAATCATTCAAATAAATTAATCAATATTTTTATCATTTGCTAATAACAAACAAACAAACAAACAGATGAAAAGACATCTTACCCGAGGACGGGGTATAGCTTTCATTGGTTTCTTTGATCCCATTTTCTTCATGGCGTTATAGTATTTTTTCTGGTCTTCGGTCATAAACATCTCAAGAGAACCGCCGGCTTTTTTCTTCTGTTCGTTAAAGTTGTCAATAATGACTCCAATAAACAGATTGAGCGTAAAGAATGAGCCGAAGATTATGAAGAATACGAAATACAAATACATATACAAATTGACTTCTTTTTCCGGCTGATCAAACTCTTTGGGTTGAGAGTCGATGGCGTTATCCATGATTTGTAGCCAACCCTTGAAAGTAGCCTTTAAAATGAATAAAAAACAAATAAAAATTAATTAATAATTCAAAAGCAAACGAATTGCTTCCACAAGTCATACCACTTGGAAGAGAGCGAGATATGCGTTGAGGACATTGTCGAAGTTGATCTGTGGGTTATACCAGAGGGTGCCATTAGTGGACTCACACGCAATCTTATTGGGAATATATGATGAATTGTATTTCTTTAATGTCTTTGCGTCCACACATTGATAAAACTTTCCCAAAAACAACTGAACGCCCATTATTGAGAAGATTAACCAAAATATTAGACAAACGAGAAGTACATTAAAGATGGCCGGAATCGCTTGGATTAGAGCGTTCACCACAACCTTACATTTGATGACCAAAATAATACATTTATATATAATATTTAATTTATACTATCATTAGGATTTAGGGACAAATAACTTATATATATATTTATAAATAACATTAAAGCTCTTGAATTATTTGTTAGCAGAATATATTTTGTTTTAAATTTTAAATTTACTATTTTCAATGGTTATAATAATATATAAAATTTATATTTTAAATATTAAGCCATTTGTTTGTTTGCTAACAAATACAGTATAAGAACTTTATTGTAAGGAATTACTGAAATATACTGAATATAATATTATTTATTTATTATTTATATATTGATTTTAGATCTTTTTAAGTGACATTAATTTTTATGGGATTCACGGAATGCATAATACTGTTAAACAAGTATATAAAAAATGATATAAAATAATTGATTGCAAAGCAAAAAATAAAAATATGTGTGTATTTATGACGTCGACATCAGAAGCAACGATTAACATGCAATTAATGGATTACTTACCGATTTAAACGACCAGTTTTTTTAGACCAACTTTAATGAACTCAACATTATTACTACACTTACCTTTTTTTAATTAAACAAATCATTACCATTACAAACTATACATCCAATGTATTTTTAATATTGTATATCATAACATAACATTCAATATAATAATTGTCTCTTATTTTTTGTTGGTAACAAATATCAAAAATCGTTGATTTAGTTGATTGTAAACCCAGGCAATGGTATAACAAAAATTGTGGTCATTATTGTGACTCTTACCCGCATTCCTTGGAATCGAGACAATGCTCTTAGAGGTCGAAGTGCTCGAAGAGTTCGCATAGTTTTGAAGGCTTGGATTCTTCCGGCACCGAACCACGTGGCTATCAGATTGATCACAGATACCTATTGCGGGTGAGACACACACACACCCAGAGAGGGTTACGGACGAGGAGGTGGCAAATAAATTATTTAATAACTCGTATTGATATATCATACCAATTATACAAACAAAACAGTACTAAAAGGTATGAAATTATATGACATTTTTCATTTTCAACTAATTTTTTTATATCAAACCATTACTTACCGAAATATAAGAGTTCATATATCAATCATAACATTTTATTTTATTTGGTCAGCATATCTGCTAAAAACTAATGACTTTTTCTAAGTAATAACACCACAGCTATGTTTTACGACAAAGACAATAACAATTGAGACAAAATTGCAAACATATACATATATATACAGTATATACAGACACATTGACATTTGCATTGATAATTGACATTATGTGCTAACCTATTGTAAGCACGACTACAGCACAGAATATTCTACATTTGCTACAGAATTTATAGCTTAACAGTTGCACACAATTAAAGCTAATATTGAAAAAATTAAATATTGAAAACATTCGCCTAAAAAATTCGATTTCTAATATCTATTTTGTTTGAATCAATGGGTTATTTGATAGTTTAGATAAAAATTTTAGAGATTTTTTGAATTTGATTTGATTGTATCAATGGATTTGGCACTTACTCTCATGCCTTCCAATCGGGACATTGCTCTCAACGGCCGCAACGCCCGCAATGTTCGCATGGTTTTGAAAGCAGGTATTTTGCCTAAACCTGCTAAGCCAACAGCCCAGTTAAATAAGGATACCTATTAAGGTGCAGCCAAACGTTCAATTCAAGCCTTATATTCAACTCAATTGGATACCCATTTTGAGTGTATGAAGCTTTTTCTATCATTTATTTATAATAATGTGATTATATATATATATCTTTCTCTCTCTTTATCTCTAAAAAAAGCTCTAAATCTGTCATTTTATCTATATATATATATAACATTCATCCATACAATTGACACTTTTTTTTAATTAATACATTCATTATTAGATATTTTTGATTGAAAGTCTAAATCTAAGCTTAATTTATGTATATATAAATTTATAAAAATGATATTATGTTTACCGTAAGTTGAGTTAAAAAGTTTGATTAATAAATATTTGATTAATATATATATATAAACAAATAAAAAATCATATATATAATTATATATATATATATATATATATTTATATAAAACAAAATAATAATAATTGAAAATATGTATATTAGACTTAATCAATTAGGTCTCACCATAACAATGACAAAGTCAAGCCAACACCAGGCGTTTGTGAAATACTTTTTGAAGCCAAAGGCCAACCATTTAATTAACATTTCAAACAAGAATATGACTGTAAAGAACTTATCCATATATCCCAAGTACTCCATAAACACTTCGTCTTTCTTAAAGTTTACGTCCTCTAAGGCCTAATAAAAGTGTATTATTTGCAACAAATTTAAATGCAAATAATTAAAATTAAATGATTAGCTCATATATGTATAATACATACCAAAGCCATACTACTAATCAAAATTAATGTAATCACAAGTGTTTCAAAGTATTTGTGTTCAACGAATTGATAGCATCTGAGTCTAATTTCTTTCCATTTTAACAGAAACGGTGTTTCATCCAAACAAGAGGGACAGTACTTATACAATGGGTCGGGAAAACAATCGGATGGATATTCGCTAATAATTACATCAGCCGTTGCTGTCTCTAACTTATCCGCCTCGAGATTCTCTGCCATTCCATTAATTTCTCCATTTTTGTTGAGCTCTTCCTTTGATCCTAAGAGGTCTTCGCTATCTTTCTTGTCCTCATCGAGTGATGAACGACTGGACGGCTTTTTGAGGCTATTAAATGAATTGTTGCTCAGATTGTCCTCATCTTTGCCATCGAGAGTTACTTTATTTTCTGCATTTATCTTAATTTTATCCATTTGTGCGTCTTTTATAGCGTTTCCCAATTTGACTGAATTCAATACATTTCGGGCACTATTTTGAAACTTGAGTTTTCCGCCCTGTATTGCAATCTCCAAACCGTCGCCCACAACCACTTCCAGTTCAGTGTGTTCTTTGGGACTTTTCTTGTCTCTTATAACCTGCCCGTCCATCAAAACTATATCTCCACCGCCCATATCATCCATTTCCTCTCTTATGTCTGCTGTTTGGTCTCCAATTTGATTGCGAGTTTTTGACCGAATCACCTAAAAAATAAATTTATAAATATTTTTTTCAATATATTAAATTATATCATATATTATATAACAATACTTTTAAGCTTTGAAGTGTTATATTTTTTATCCATTTGGCTCCTCTTGAGAATCTATCGAAGGCTTCTTGTAATTTCTTAGTGTCGGCGCTATCGGATGTCGGAGCCGACAGATTTGATGCACCGAACGATGAGAGTAATAGGGCTAAAAATAGGTTGAGTACAACTAAATTGCCGATGACTACAGTGGCCAGAAAAAAGGGAACACACGGTGCGCCCGAAACTCGCATACAGTCCCACATGGATTCAATCCATTCACCGCACAAAACCCGAAACACTATCATAAATGAGTGCATAAAGTCCACGAAATTCCAACGCGGAATGTCTTCGCCTTTAAAACTATTGATGAAAAATGTTAAACAATTTAAATGATTATTAATTTTGGTATAAAATCATTAGATCCAATATATAAGAAAAGACATACTTTTCAATTGTATAGTTTTTGCCAAACAATTGCATTCCCATTACAGCAAATATGAATATAATGATAGCCAACACAAACGTTAGATTTCCTAAATCTCCCACAGCTTTACCCATAATAGAGATGAGAAGATTCAGTGTCGGCCAAGACTTGGCTAATTTGAATACTCGTAACTATTTTTAAAAAATTGAAATTTATAACAAATAAAATGTTTCATAATTTTTTTTATAATAAATTTAAAAATCCAATGATAATTAATACAGTAATATATATATATATATTATATACTCACTAATCTAAATGAGCGAAGCACTGATAGACCTGAGACAGAGGCCAACCCTAACTCTAATAACGATAAGACAACGATAACAAAATCAAATATATTCCAACCCTCGCGAAAGTAAAACTTTGGACTCAATGCTATCAATTTCATTCCCGCTTCAATGGCAAAGGTGGCCGTAAAAAACTATTTTTAAATATACAAATCATTAATAATAATTTAAATATATTATACTATTATTTATGTTAATTTAAATTTAAATTATGTTTCTACTAATTTCTAATATTTCAACTAATTTATTCTTATGTGTAATTATTCTGTATATGTACTAATCGGTACAGTGTTTGTTATAATATTCAATAAAAAACTTAATAAAATAAATTAATATTCAATTAATGAGGTTAAAGGAAACAAAAAATAACAAAAATAGACAAATTATGAAAATCACTAAAAGTTTTGAAATAGTGAAAGTCATAAGTTATGATTATATCAATTATTAAGTTATTTTAATCAACGATTTGTGGCATCAAATAGCATAATGTGTAATAAAAATGAGACATGATATGCATTGACAATGTATTATGTATTTGTAATATCTATAGCAATATATTGTAATGTATTTAATAATAATAATAATAATAATAATCATATGAAAAGTAATGAAATATTCGTGTCATGTAATGACTGGTGTAGTTATGGTTAGGTATGAAATGGTAGGTATGGTTATTCCAATGCTCACATAATTTCCATTTTGTAGTGCATTTTCAAAGTCTTTATCCATATTGTAGTGATCCATAGCCATGAATAGTGTGTTGACAACAATGCATAGTGTGATGAACAGCTCCATGAATGGGTCGAACACAATAAGGGCGACCAACTCCTGGACGCGAACCCAACACCAACAACAGTCCCAAACACACAGAATATCTATACACTTGAGACAACCGGTGAGAAATCTCTCTTTAAAGAGAGGCCTTTCGCCCTCATCTTTATCTGATGGAAAATAATAGATGGAAACTGTATAATGTTTATTATGTCCGCTCTTTATTGCCATTCATTCATATACATCACAAACAATTATCAACAACAACACCAAAAACATCAACAACAACATCAATATCTACATCAATAACAACACATCCAATAAGCAATTAAATAAAGTAATAAACATTTAAGTTGTATTAATGTAACTATTAAAACATGATATGCTAAAAACAAGTTTATAAATGAGAAATTAGACTCAAAAATAAACATATTTTTATCATTTATATAATATAGTCTTTATATAAACAACTAATACATCAAAATATAAAAGGTTTTGACATTTTAACCATTTGTATGAGTTATGGAGTTAAGAGGAAAAGTATGCTTTAAGTATATAAATCACATAAAATACATTACAGTTATAGTACTGTAAATTTACAGTAAATTATGTAGACTTTAAGTTCATAAAAATAAGGTATAACTAAAATTTGCCAAATATTATGCGTTAATAATTAATGTCTCCATCACCATAACCACCATATTTTAAAATATTATATAAAAATATCTAACATTTTTTAATTTATAGGTTTTATAATTCAATGTTTCCATCAATTATTTTTAAACTAATGCTTGCATTTAGATAAACAGTGTTTATGTGTTCACTTTACCTGATTATGTGATACATTGAAAATAAAAGCAAGCAAATAAATAAATAATAAAATACGTATAAATATAATAATGTATAAATTATCCAATGATATACTAAATAAAATACATTTAATAGCTATACAGACATTTACATTCACCATAACACACACACACACACACACACACACATAGTGTAGATACACATACAGTACATACAAAGTACTGTATCACAGTATTACATACACTATACTTAAACATTGTATTGAATATATACAGACATTAAGGACAAACATCGTTGACAACACATATATCCGTATCTAATAATTAATGCAAACCTCTATCACTATCTCTGGCAATACTCTGTCGTCCGGCGGCCGCCTGTTCTATGATATCGTTGAGTACCATCACATCTATAATAATAATATTATTATTGTTATTATGAAATGATATAAAATATTATTTTAATATAATTATTAATTATTAACGACTAACAGCATAAAACATTGTCTCACTATTTATTACCTTTCATATCAACCATTGCCTGTCGTGGAGACGGCTGTTGGTCTAGAAATGGGTTTTCGTGTTGTCTGTGCTTAACAGCAATCATGTATTCCTCAGAATCTAACAAATCCTGTGAACAAAACAAATAACAAAAATATTTTTGCTTAATATATATTATATTTCTTTTATATAACTAAATATTTACAATAATATTAATAAATATAATAATATTAATATTAATATTACGGTATATTATGAAAAAAGAATGACAAAAAATATTTTATTATATTTATTGTTAATTAAATTATTTTTTAAATTAACTGAAAATATTTTATGAATTTTTGTTAAGTTTGTATCAAAAACAATAAATGTATGTTTGAATTATGATATTGTTATTTAAATTAATAGCTAAATATTTGCCTAAAATCATGCAAATGAATGCAAAGTGCAAACTAAATGTAAGTGAATAATGTTTTTGTTAGATAATGAATAAATGAATGAATGGGCCATTTAGGCTGATGATGGGTTGGGTAGTCAAATAAACCTCATTGTAGTATTGGTGTAGATTGCGTCGGGATCTAAGTTGGCTCTCTTTGGTCCAAAGGGCACCTCCGCGACCATAGATGTCCCCATGAGATGTATATGATATACGGGATGAGTGAGATGTATAGCTTGAATGGCGTGAATTGAGATTTGTATTATATACAGGAATAATGATAGCGCCGTTTTCCTCCGACATCGGTGTGACGGCAGTACTATCATCGGCGTAGGGCAGGTGTTCTTGAGCGTCGAGGTATGTTTGAAGCACTAGCGGCTTACGATCACCGAGGCGTCGACCATTGGTTCGGGCCCACGTCACGCTAAACTGACTGCCCCGACTTCCCCTTCGGTAATTGAAGGGCGAACCGGGAAGACTCAGACTTGCCTGTCAAATACAAACCGGAAATACAGCTATACATTGGTGTGTACCGGTGCTCAGTCATGCATCTATACTATACTTCATGCACTGCATTATTAATAACTAACTAAATAAATATATAACTAATTATTAACTACAATCTAAAAGTTGTTTAGACGATGCAGAAGACAATCACCAATTAAGTCCAGTGCACTATTGATTACCATTGCTTACCATTTAGAAGATGCCTCTAAAGCCGCTATACTATACTATAGCGTACACTACAGTACAACAAAACAATGATTACAGCAATTCTGCTACATTTTAAACGCTATGAATCTATCAATAGGTCTACCACTAGGGTTGTACCAAAACTACACTATTTGACACATCTATATATATATATATATATATATATATATATATATATATATATATATATATATATATATATATAATTATATATATTGTAACATACCGTTACTCTACAGCATTTTACACTACTTTCTCTAATAACTCTAATATAAATTATATACAATAGTTTAGATACTATTGAATTTTTCATTGCATATCATATTCAATAATAAAAGTATATAATAATAATATATATTTTTAAACAATTGGGTTAGATATTTGTTTTATTCACGAATTTTTACAATAAATACTAAAATATTTTCAAGGAATTTGATTAAATAAAAAAAAATTTAGACCAAAAAAATAGTAAATCAAATAATAAATAAAACACCAAAAAATAGTCAATTGGGTTTTTCTATTATTTTTTTGTAGCACTACTACACATTTGTTATTTAGATATATTAGCAAATATTAATAAGTATTAAATTAAAACATTTAAAAATGAAATTATTACATACGGTTTACACATTAATTATTAAGTTTCAATGGACAGGGATTACACCAAAAATCATGACATAAGTAATATTAAGAGACATCCGTCTACACGAACGGTTGGGTCAATTATTAAGACTAACATTTCACATCTAATCTACTTTTTGAGCGACACTTTGAACGATTAGTACGACTTCTACTATTTATGTATTGGGATTTACATCAAACTAACACTAAATATTGATATATAAGAGGAACAGTAGCCGAAACACTAATTTCTATAATCCATGAATTTGAGAGCAAATGCTGACAATAAATGAAAATAATGGGATCAACTGTAAAGTGATCCGAAACATATGTCACAGAAAGAGATATATATATATATTTACAAATATATAGTAAACTTGCGATTTGTATACCTGAGCGACAAATTCAATGTCGAGAAACTTCGTGTTCCGCCTTATAATTGAAAACCAAATCTAAATATTGTGTTCATTTTGGGCACGAGTTTCGGTATATATATCAAAATGGGGGGAAAAGACAGCTATTTTGTATTAAAAATAAAACACCACAACACGGGACACAACTATTTTTTTTTGGATCACTAGTTGGTTATAGTATGACATTTATAAGTTATAACTTACAGGTAATAATATTTATAGTAATATCTATAATAAATATAATATTTATATAATAATAATATCATAATAATAAATATAAAATATAGATATCATTACAACTATAGTATATAATAATAATTATTATTATATTCTACAAACTATGTAAACATTATGAATATTCTACAATTGATATCAATAAAAATTAATCAAAAGATAAAAATTTATTAGGAAATTCTAGACATAATTTAAATAAATGTTAATTAATTTTTAGTAACAATAAAAGTAAAATTAATTGAATAAATAAAAATAATAGGAAAATACAATAAAATTAATTAATAAAACACATAATTGGCGGAAATATCTAAATTTTTGTGGGTTTTTTGGCATATAAAGAGTGTTTGGTTAGAATTAATAGAATATTCTGCTAATAATTGATTATAAATTGCAACAAATATTGACAATAGACTCACTTTTCTATTCATTTTGCCGTTTAATCGGTTTCGTTGTTCGTTTGACAGACCATTATCTCCGTCGTCACTCTTGATGGACGTCCTTTCCTTTAGGTCCCTATCATCGGGTGTTGCCTTTTCGTGTTGAGCGCCGACACCAGCACTGGTATAGATGTCATATGAACGACAAGAGTAATCGGATGGACTCTTGACAACACCGCTCTCTCGTCTCATTTGTGCTGTCACTGCACCGCTCTCTCTCATTGCTGCCTCTTCTTCTGCAAGACGACAGGCTTCAGCATAAGCTGCCTCTTCAGCAGCGGCCGCCTCCTCTTCCTCTTCGGCTTTCTTCTGGAGCTCATCATAAGACATGGCAACAATGGCGAGAATCAAATTTAAAAGATAAAATGATCCCAAAAATATGACCACAACAAAGAAGCCCATATGCCACGGACCGGTAACCCGTAATATCATTTGATATAACGATTCCCAGGCGTCCTGAGTCATCAACCGAAACGATGACAGCAATGCCCACCCAAATGTGTCAAAGTTTGTGTAACCAAAGTTCGGGTTTTCGCCAAATCCTAATAAACACGAATAGTTTGGAGGACATTGTCTAAACAAAAACAAATTATATAATTATTATATATATATTAAAATTTTGTTCTTCAGAATATATAAATAACTTTTAATTAAAATTAATTATTATAATAAAACAAAATAATAATTACTGTGAACTGTTGCCACATAGATAAGGCTCGGCCGCCCCTTGCTTATAAAACCAGTTGGTCTCATTAGAGGCCCAATTTAGCCATTCAATATCGGACAGTCCTTCTGGAGGAAGCATAACACACTTTTGTGTCAGTACACCCATATATACTTGAAGTCCCAATAAGGCAAATATGGATAATGAAAAGCAGGTCAGGATTATGACATCCTTTAGATTCTTGACCGACTCTATCACTGCCCCGACAATGGTTTTCATTCCTGTTTATTGGACGAGTATCACAAAAAAATAAAAAATAATCAATTGTATGATACTATGATAATACTGTTATATGAATAGTCATACCAGGGATTATAGCAACAGTTTTTAAGGCTCGAAGTACTCGAAAGGTTCTCAAAGCACTTAGATTTCCCAGTTCTTTGACACCCATTGTTAAGTAGGCTAAGGCTATGACCACGAAGTCGAGCCAATTCCAGGGGTCTCTCAGATATGTGAACGGCTCTAATATGAAGCCACGGGCGGCCACTTTCAGACACGACTCAAACGTGTATATTGTCGTAAATATGACTCTGTTTGTGGACACACAGCCGAATCATACATAGTTAGCATGATTTGTAAAAATTTTATAAAATAAACTAAAAGTGATTTTAAATACTCAGTTCTTTCGATGGAGTCTTCGGGCGGTAATGTCATTAATATACAATTGACTAAAATTGTTACAATCACTAAAAAGCTAAACATGGGATGGACGAGCATATAGATGGCCACCCGTCGGATCGGATTAAACGGGTCTAATATCCACAATGCGTTGGTCGCACTGAACCTGAAGATGTCTTTACCTTTGCTGATCACCGTAAATGTCTTCATCAAAAATATTTTTTATTTATAATTAATTTATGTTAAAAAATTTATCATTTAATAAAAACTTATAAATGTGTAATGCATTTAGCTTAATTGTTAAACGTATTATTTTTTTATGCTCCATTATATTATATTAGTTTTTAAAAATAGTTCAAATATTTAAAACTTATAAATTACACGTTGTATTGTAATAAAAAGTTATGTATTATACTTTATTTTAAAAAGACTATAAGACTTGTATATACTGTATAGTAATTGTATGGGAAATTATTAAAAAAAATTATAATTAATATTAAATGTTAGGCCAGTTTAATATAAACTAGAATAATTGTAATCAATATATTTTTCTTAATTTTAATAAATAATTTTAGTTTAAAAACATTTTGATAATAAATTGTGTTTGAGCAGTTTCAATAATGAATTAGTACTGTATTAAATTATATCATTTAAATTAAGAATCTTAATAATCACTATTATATATATTAAAAAATATAACTAATAAGTATGCAAAATAAAATGTTTCACATTCAATAATACAAAAAAAAATAATACTAATATAAATATTACTAAAATATAATAATAAGATATTTTTTTAGATCATTATAGAGTTTTTAGAATATAAAATAAAATGTAGATTTTAAAATATATTATTGTTATTGTATTCATATATAACATTTCAATCACTATGCTGTATGATATATTAGATAACTCAATTAATTTAGTTAAATTAATTTATTTTTAATTAATACATTATTTAATTTATTAATAAATTTAGTATAAAAACAAAAAATACCATACAGTATATAAATAATATTTTAAGTATCAAAAAAATTATATAACAATATGTCAAATAAAATACTATTAAAACATTCTTAATACTTGTAATCTTTACAAATACATGTATACGTATTTATTAAAACTATTTTTTAATTTTATAAAACCAGTAGATAATAATAATATACGGTAGTAATATGCTATTATCTATCTCTATGCCATTTGTGTAAATGTTAAAAGTAAATAATAATGTATACCATTTATTTTTAAATAACATTAAATTATTATAATTTAGACATATTTCAATATAATAGACTTTTAAGTATTTACTAAATATTGATTAGATAAATATCACTTGAAAATATAATATCAATTTGTTGCTAAAAAATATATTAAATAAATAATTGCAATTAACGTTTATGTTTATATGATTAAACAAATATCTACAATAATTCCGTTAAAAATAATTTAATAATAAACAAAATCTTAAAATATTTTGTAGAGTAAATATTATTTTTATAAAAGTTATTTATTTATGAGATTTTTATATTTTAGTAAAATAAAAAAAATATTAATTGATATATTTAAAAATTTATTTTTTAATAATGTCTAATATTTTAAAAATATAATGACAATAATATATTTAACACTATATTTTATTATATTCTTTATAATAAAATATTAAATTATATACTGTAGTAATAAAAATTTAGTATCTAATAAACATTTTTAATATTTTGCAATAAATATGTTTTTATTGTTTTATTGTAATATAAATAAAATAATTATTAATTAATTTCTTACAGATGTCTGTAAACTATATGTAATGTTAATATTTGAAATTCTTAAAAGTACTAAACAAATATATTTATATATAATTGAAATCATCAAATTTGAAAATATTAATTAGTTATATTATCATTTTTATTAATTGAAATATATTCTGTATGTTTGTATACTGTAAAAGTATATATATATCAAAACTCTATTTATTAAATCATATAAAAAATATAATTATAAATAAACAAACAAATGCACATATATATATATACTACATATAAACATACATACCTATATACAGTACATATAGTACTGTACATACATACATACATACAATCATATATGTACTATTTAATGTAATGATAATCTATTAAAATAGTACAGTAGCATATTTTATACGGTTTATAAATACATTTTTAATAATGATTTCTCCAATTTTGTCATTTGTTTAACATTTTCATACTTTTTTCGCATAGACTATAAATTATAAAAAAATTGTTTTGCATATATCGTATTAATCGATACAATACTGTACGTATACTACAGTCTACACAATTTTCCTAATCTTGTTACTATACGGTTGAATATATATATATAACTCAACCCATGTTAACCTATTGATACATTTATATTATTATTATTATTATTATTATTATAAAAATCACATCAATCTTATAAATATAATAAAAATCTTATAATAAATATTTCTAATAATTAATAAACTTGAGTTAATGAGTTTGTCAACATTTGTAATATAATGAAAAATATATTAAAGACTATGATATATACAGTTTTAATATAAATTAAAAATTTATTATAAAATATAACTCTGATATAATAAAAAATAATGTACACGTTTATAATCACACACTACACTTTAATAGTTATTAAAATATCAATATTTATTATTAGTATAATGATATTTACTTAACAAGTTAAATGTACGTATAGTTTATTTTAAATGCTATCAATTGTTTTGTTGATTTAGTCATATTTTTGTTATTGTTTAATTATTGATTTTATTTTAATCAATTAGTTATAAGTCAATGAATAAAATTGTATGTCTAAAATCTTATATAATAATCTTTTGTAGACAGTATGTATTGTCAATATACTGTATATCATAAGTATGTTTTATATCTAGGGTCATAATAAAGGTAAATTATATTAAATAAAAATACATATAATATATTACAGTATATTCTGTATAATTTGGATGCAATAAAAGAGACGTGAAATATTCATTGCTGGAGAGAGAGAGAGAGAGTTATATTTTAATAGCTTTACTCATGAAATGAATATTTCAATCGTCAACTCAGCTCTGTTTATAGCAAACAAACTGAATCCATACCCATTGAGAGCACCGGTACTCCCTATGCTCTGACAATTCACGTTTTAATACACTGTTATAGTCATTAATGTTATTGTTTTATGAAAAATACATTTTATTTAAATTTCATTTTAATTATATAAAAAATAACTCATGTTAATAATCTCATACATTGTATTGTATATACTGCTATAAATATAACTATATTAATGCATAATAAATTAATTGTAATAAACAATTTAACATAAATTATAACTAAAATATTATTTATTTACATTAACTATATTTGTTATTTGAAATTTATTAATAAATTTATAACATAATTATTGAAATGCATATATTTGAATAAAAAAATTATTTTATATTATAATTGAATTTACTTTAATTAAACAATATTTATATATATATAAAGTTATAATATTATTCTTTTATCTCTTAATTTGTTTAAATAGCAATTTTCTCAACAATTAATGATACGAAAATATTAGCCAAATATGGTGCTGTTGTGTGTGTAAAATATAATTTAATTAAACAATTATTTTTATATATAATATTATATTTTTAAACTCTCGACGGAATTATTAATTTTCATTTAAAAATCTCATTATATATATATATATATATATATATATATATATATATATATATTGTAAGCAAAAGAATTATTAATCTCTTGACAAACAGTATAACAATTAAAATGTTATATAATGTATCAATAATATGTTATTATTATATTATAAAATTAATAATAGCATTTTTTTAGTTTAGTTTGTTTTTCGCTAAAAAATAATAAAATCATTAATAATGTTATGGATATTAATTAAGACATAAAATAGTGATGCAAAATGATTTGCTTATATCATAAAAATGCTGATATAGTTAGAAAAATAGTGTAAATTGAGTTTTTCTCTAATAATAATAATAATAATAATTATAATAATTATTATTATTATTATAAGAAAAGCCTTTTTATCTAATAATGTAATAATTAATAATGAGTAGGAAAAATATAAAGTGACACAAAATATTGATGCTATTAATTAATATAAGCCAATACAATATGAAGTAAAAAAAGAAACAACAAATAGTCTCTACAGTACTGTATATATTCTGTATGTATTGAATTGTACACAAAAAATAAATGACTTACCATTTTGTTCTCATAATATTTATCGATATCCTCTATTGGCGTTGCTATAAGTTCTGGAGGGAATTCCCTTTGAAGGGCTCGCGGCAGAGGTAGGCCGGCCTCGAGCATAGGATCGGGTTTAATAGTCTCACTGTGATGGGGGGCCATATAGGTCTCACTCTATTAGTTATAATATATCAATAGTACATAAAACATTAATTTAGTAATTTACAAATTATAACAATTAAATGAAACTTATAATTGTAATAAATTATATTTGATAAATTAGATTGATATTTCTTTTAAAATCCATTATTTACTTTTATTAGCACAAAATTATATTAAATAGTGCAACAAATTCTTATAATCATTAAATAATAATAATAATAATAATAATATATTATTCATTCATTCATTCATTTTTATTTTGAATATTTAGTCAACCAATTAATTTCTTATAATATTAATAAATGTAGACAAAACTGTAACACTTAACAATTTTATTTAGGGATTTTTATCAATTAAAATGATTTTTAATTATTGAAATGAGATTTTAAATGTTTATATATAATTATTAATATATATATATATATATTGTTATACTATTTCTATATAATAATTAGTAGGGACGAATTTATTTTCAGCCAATATAATTGCAATAAATTTCCATTAAATTAAATTTGTTACTTTTAAATGTTTATTACACTTTTTTTGTATAATGTAATACGTAATTTATAATGCATTATTTATTATATTATCGTATATCTATAAAATCAATGACAAACAATAAAAATAATAATAATATAATTTCTAAAATAAATAAAATTATTGTTTAAAAATATAACATATTTATCAATTAATACTAATCATAGACTATATTGTATATCTTTGGCATTAAAAATATCAAAAATTGAATGGTGCATAAAAATCAATTTGACTATTATTTATGTCATTATCATTAATGCTGTTATAAAAACATTATTTATTAAAGTTTTTGTTTCATTTATTTAATATATTAATAATTAAAAACATAACGATTTTTTAAATATAGTGTACTAAGTAAAACAAACAATGTTTAAATTAATTGTAAAAATTGTGAAATCAAATTGCTTAAAACTGTTAACTAATCTTATTATTTAAAAATATTTTTAGAATAAATATTCTCTTTGTGTAATATATTATTAATAAAAATAAACTTAAAAGTTATTTTATATTATTTAATAATTTACTTATTTGACAAAAATAGCTTTTAGTAGACATTGCAGATGTTTCCTAATTGTTATAATATAGCCGTAAAATATATTAATGCATAAATTTTTTATAATAAGAAAACCTTTCATTATAAAAATATCGCTAATTTGTTGAATTTTAAATTATTATTGATTTTATTATGTTAAACCCAATAGTAGAGATAATTAATTATATTTTTTATTATCAAATTTTAATATATAAGTCACCCATATTTTATTGACTATTGTTTATCAATAGTTAATTAATATTTCAAGTATTTATAATTTTTATAAATATTCATTTTAAAATATATATTGTTTCTATAATCATATAATCTGAATTTCATTATAAAATTATATGTATAAAAAACTATTAATTAAATTATTGTTAATATTATTATTATAATGCTATTGTTTATATGCTAACATTATTGTAAAAATTTTAAGCCAATATTAAGAAAAGTATTTATCCAATAATTTGTATGATACTAATAACAATAAAATTGTATTAATATTTATATAATTATAATACAATAATCATATTATATTATAAATAGCATAAATGTTTGCACACAGTTACTATAAATATCAATATTATAGTAACATTTGTGTGATTATCAATAAGTTTATACATCAGTATATCAGTATAATACAAGAATATTCTGGGAAATTATCAAAAAACAACATTATCTACTACTCCTACTACTATTAAAAATAATAATATTATTATTATAATTAATTTTATAGAATATTATAAAAACTTCATGAAGTATAAGACTATATCTAAAGCATATAAATTAATGGCATAATTGGTGTTTAAAATCGGAATTCCATTGAAAATGATATACATTTGGGGCTGAAATGAGTTAGTATTTGATGCAAAGCATGCAATCCAATGACACACTTATTGATCCGATTTTGAGCAGTTATACTACAAAACACACACACACACACACACACACACATATATATATATATATATATATATATATATATATATATATATAGATACATATATGTCAATACATAGATATCAATACATAGATATAAAATAAGAAAGAGTGGTTTATGGGATAATGGATAGTGAGTGCAGTACTAATTGATTTTCGACACCAAAACAGAATCGGCTTTTGAAAAAATATAAAAAACGGTAACAAATAAAGGATGCGATGAATGAGTATCTCTAGCACTGACCTCGAGTTGAGCGATCTTTCGTGCATTTTCTTCGGCAATGCGCGCCTGAATGGCCGCCAGTGACTCCCGAGTGAAGGGACGGAAGGGAGCCCTGTCCTCTTCGTCATGGAAACGGGTCGTCATTACAAATCAGTTGACAATTAGGATGACTGTCACTGGACTCAGACGACACTCTCTCCACACGAGTACGTCTTGTAAGCCTTATATTAGAAAAAACATATGATTTTATTAAACAGTTTTTTATGTTTACATTAAATACATTAAATTTTTTAAACAAACATTTGTATTATTGTTACAAATGTTTAATTATATTATCGAAGAAAATTGTATTTAAGATAAACATATGACAAAAGCATTAGATTTGCATAAACTTAATGACAACTATAGTGAGACAGACATCACTTCATCAATGGTTGACCTCTTCTCGTGTTAGTCCTTAGTGTCAATACTACACAACTATACTATAGATCTGAATATATAATACTTAACTATCGATAACTAATATGTATCATCACTGCTAATATACTGAAAAAACAATACTGTAATGTTATTTTGTATAAATTACAGTAATATTAGTATTACACTAATTATATTAGTAACACAAATGTGCTAATGTTTATTTGACTAACTAAATGAAATAAATTTAATTAAACTTCAATATTCACAATAAACTAAACTGTACTCTTTTAAGTATTGTTTGTAAAGTGTAATTACATTTCAAACTAACCATACTCACTTTTTAATATATATATATATATTTATGTTATATATAAATAACACAATAACACATCAGAATATTCTGCAATATATTATAAATTTAAATTCTGTAAAAATATTGTTTATTAATTATTTGTAATAACTATAGTTTCAATATATATATATATATATATATACAGTGTTTAATGTTTTCATTTGATATGATATAATATAATATTAAATATGTAATCGCAATAAAAATAATAATAAAAGCGAGTTTGTATTGAATTGATTGTTAGATCGGATGGCAATAGAGTTGAAAACCTTGTGTTTCTCTCAATTGAGTCGATTGTATAATATGTTTCAATATTGGGTTTAAACCTTAGTTACTGTTGTCAAGTAAGACAAGTCTAGAGTAAAACAAATGCAATCTTTGCTTTTAATATAATATTAGTATCATATATACTGTATATATAATACTTTATTAATATATAAATTATTACTTATATTTTTAATTCAATACAATTAATATTTAATTAATAAAAACATTCGATAATTAATGGCGAAATAAATTACATTAGAAAAGACATTAAATTTAAAATTTAGGTTTAATTTAATTGATTGCGGAAACCGAGAAATGCTTCGACAGATAGGAAATGCATTTCTCATCAATAAAATAGTGTGCAATTCTCGTATATATGTATGTATGTGTGTGTCTATGTATGTCTATAGTGTTTGATATAAAATGTATGTATTAAGGAACTGGTGTTTATACACATTTGATACATAAGAATAGAGTTACATAAAAAAGCGATTGCTTAGCAATTTGTAATACATAAAAATGCTAATATTATACATAATAATAATTGAATTCTTGTTATTTTCCATATTATAAATATATATATATATATTATATTATAATAATAAGATGATATATTCAATAAAAAATACATACCTTCAAAGGTTAAAAATTTATATTTGATTCATCACTAGTTTTGATTAATCCAGATATAATACTGTATATATATTTATACATATTAATAAATAACTGATAATATATTTATTAACAAATTTAACCTAATAGATGCAAAATACATTAATTAAATAGATAACACAGTGGACGAAGCTTTTATTTATATTAAAAGCTTTGACCAAAATATCCAACATTTAATAATATAATATATATGTATATAACGAGAGAAAAATAATTCTTTAAATATAAATATTATTGAGTAAATTATTATAAAAAACAATTTAATGAATTCATTGCTGTATTTGTCTTAAAGAATTGTATCTCTAAGAGTCAAACATATATATAATTTATCAAAAAATGAATGAATTAATATACTATAATAATTGATATCATAAATATAATTAACAAATTTGTCAGTTTGTTTGCTGATTATAGTGTTTATTGAGATCATTCACACAATTACAAGCAATTCAATAAATATTATGCTCTCCTATGCTCTGCGGATAAATTTCTCGCTGACTACCAGTGCTCTCGTAGTACATATCCATTGGTAACCGATGTGTACAACTAACTCAGTCTGTGGTCGACATTCCTCACAATATTATCTAATATTATCATCGATTCACAGAATGTAGTCTTCATTATCAATAAAAAAGTTGTTACAATCACTATATGTGCTCTCAATAGAGGGATATACTGTCAACGTATGTTAACATTGAATACGGTTTCTATAATACAGTAAATACTTTATATATAATATTTAATATTATTAATACAGTAATAATATAACATTAAATTCATCATAAAGTTTAACTATACAGCACTATCATTATTATCATATACTGTATAATATATAGATATACTGTATATGCTATATATTATATATAATATACATCTTTATTGATAAACTTTTTAAGCTCATAACAGCTGTTATGCAATGTTTAGTTCAATATATTATTAGACAATTGAAGTCAACAATTAATTTTCTTTCATTTATAAACAATTATTTTTTTATTTGTCGATATTTATAATTTATAAATAATAAAATTAACAATTTTTATGTCTATCTAACTAAAAAATCAATACATAATTCTGTAAATTTTTTTATTGCTTTTTTACACTAAAACTTTTACATATATTCATTATGTTAATTTAATTGATTTAAAAATAATTATATATATCTATATACTGTATATATATAATGTATAAATAATATATAACCATTTCTCTGGTAAAAATATTATTTGTATTAATAAACTTGAATTGATTTTTGTAAAAATCAATGAGTAGCACATATTTGTTAATTAATTTATTAAAGTTTTTCCATATTAAATGTAAAGTTAATTAAATAAAAATACTTTTTATTGTTGATTTAACTGTTAGTAATTAAATATAATGAATATAAAAATACTTTATAATAATTTAATAAGTTTTAAAAGTAATGTTTTAATTTGATTAATTCATAATAATAATACTGTTTAATAAAACTATTTAATTGTGAGAAAAATGAAATATTATTGTCATTTAAGAGTTAGTATACTGTATTATTAAACTTATATTAGTGTCCAAAGTGTAGAAAATAAAATATTTCAAAGCAATAATAAGTCATTGATTGTATTAAAGATGTATTAATAATAAGAAAGAGTTTGTTTAGAGAAAGAAAAACAAGTATTGAATGAAATAAAATAATTGAAAATCCAAGCATTGAAAAGCAATTGATGTACTTTCCGGTCAGTCAGGATGTGTCGGTCCCCTCACTGGCCATATAATGCAAACGAAATGCACTGTTATGTCCATAACAGTCGATGCTATACACGATATGCTATTATGTATAGCAAAGGACAGCTAAGTTTTGCTCAACTCTTTCCACTTATTGAGTGGACTGTTGTCTAATATATGTACGGATATGTCATCATATATATGGCACAAGACTTTGATGTTGTTGTTGTGTCTGTGTCTGTGTTTTGCATCATTGAAATCGTGTCCTTTATTATGAAAATCAATCCCATGACTACTATTACAGTTATTTTTTGAATCACAGCCTACTTTGAAACAGTGAAAACACATTAGTTTTCACAAACTATTGCAAACATAACACCAAATGATAGCGTGTAATGCAATCAAAATAAAATACTATTGCTTTGGAAAAATACAAATGTATTAAAACATACACTAATGGTGTGCTAATCGTTAATATTTATTTTGTTGCTAACAAATGAAATCAATACTTACATGTAGTTTGTGTTATTCAGTCAAATAAATTAAAGTATATAAAAATCATTTTATACTTATATTTTAATACAATACTATGTATAGTATACATGTATTGTAAACTGTATTTATACTACATTGATATATAAAACTGCAAATAAACCACAAATACAGCAAATAAAAAACTGCTTTTATTAATAAACATTGTTTGCTATTGATAAATATAAATACAGTATATAATACAATGTATAGCATTAGCTTATCTTTATAGAAAAAATTATTAATTTAAATATAAAGTTAAAATAGAGATATAATAAAAATAATTATTTCGATAATGACTACTTATTAAAAAATATTGTTTGCTCAATATTTTTCTATAAAGTGAGATATTTAACTAAAATAAATGAGATGTCAATTGAAAATAGAGTGAAGAGAGAGAGAGAGAGAGAGAGAGAGAGAGAGAGAGAGAGAGAGAGAGAGAGAGAGAGAGAGTTGGGTTATAATGAGAAACGATTTAATGGAGCAGAAAGAGAGAGAAATAGATGTATGAATGAAATGAAACAAATGTATCGATACTAACAATAGAGAGAAAATGATTGAAATATTAACACAAATGCATTGAATTCGCGATTAATTAGATGAGGAATGAGTGCCAAACAAAAGTTTGCCAAAAGTTATCCACACTATAACTGTATAATACAATATTTAATTTAATATAATACTAAACATAGACTATATTTTACTAATAAGCATGACTTTCGCACGGATTAGGGATTGTCTATAATTACAGTATTAATACAATACTTATATGCAATACTATTATGTGTTAAATAGTTATTTGGAGAGAAATTGGCACCAATGATGACATAATAACTTAATACATATATCATATATATGTAGCAAACATTTATAGCGCTATTAAAAATATGTAACGAATTAATTGAGAAAACAAGTCGACAGTCAAAAGTGATTGTCATTGAATGCAATGAAGAGTAACACTACTCCTAAGTCAATGGGCATCACATCTGTTGCCGTTTGCTATATGTGTTGTGTGTTTGACTGAATGACTGCTTTATTTGTGTTGCAAAGCGTTGCTAACATAGAGGCAAACCTTGTTTTTTACAATATCTCCAGTCATTCAATTGTTCTTTGAGATGATGGGCAGGGGGTCCGAGAAATTTAATCTATAAAACTTTATATCAATCCGTATGAAAGCCCATCCAACCATGCATTGCATGGTTCACGGACTACATCATCGGGGGAGTCGACCGTCCAAACCAACCCGTAACTCAATCAATGTGTTGTATGTTATATATATACATATATACAGTATACTAGTACTGTATATATGTACACTATTTATGCTATTTTTATATAAAATACTATAACATGTGCTATTATGGCTCCAATTGACACTCTAATGAATACAATGTATAAAATTAAATTGAAATATCGCTTTTTATTTGAATGTATAAAAGATATTACAAACAATTTTTTATATTTACAACAACTTATGTAATGAATTAATTATATGTTATATACCGTATAATACTATACGACATATATATATATCATTTTTCGTTTTATAGATATGTTAAAATTTAAGTAATAATATATCCATAATATATAATAAATAAAAATTAAAAGTTGATTAATGCATATGAATACTTTACAAAGTTGTACAAAACAAATTGTATAAACATTTTATATATTTAAAGCAAATTAAAAATCGACATTTTTCAAATATCATATATTTATAAATTATAATATTATATACAATCGAAATGAACACTAACTTTACACGTTTAGAGGTTAATATCTCAAAATCTACCGTTAATTTTATATACAAAAAAAATTATATTATAATTTCAATGACTAATTCGTGTGTTAATCAGTTTAACATTAAACTGGATTCCATTGGTATTGGTATTGATTCAAATAAATTTGTGTATAATTTAAGTTCAATCAATACCGAGACCAATGGAGTCCACTTTATGTGTATTTTTAAAAATTAATATAAATATTTTTAAATTTTATATTCAATAGTATATTTCGGAAATATAATAAAACTATATTTTAACCAAATTTAATAAAAATTGACAATAGATTTTGAGATAATACACCTCTAAACATGTAAAGTTGGCATTGATTTCGAATGTAAAGTTATATATATTTACTATATATATATATACATTCAAAATCAATACTATATTAGATTCTTTGAAAATTAATATCTCGAAAACAATTAAATAAAATTATAAGAAAATTATTGGAAACACAGAACGACTTTACAAAATTATTGTTTAACTTTTTATTTATTTTTATATAATTAAAAAAAGTATTTAAAATAATTTATTAAAAATTTTATGCTATAATTTTGGAAAGTCTTTCTGTGTTTCCAATAATTTCTTATAATTTTATTTAATAGTTTTCCAGATATTATATATATATTCATAAATAAACTCTACTATAGAAAAGTTAATCAAATATAGACAGTAGAGTTCGGAACCGACTGAAATCGGAAGCAAAACGTTTTTTAGAGCGGTTTCGGTTCCTGTGTTTTGGTTCCGATTTCTATTATTCAGTTTAGATTTGAAACGGTTTCGGTTTTAGACATATAATAATTATTTTTGAATATTTGTTATCAATATAAACTTATCTATTTTTATTTTAAAAATTGTTTACCAAATTAATTAAAAATAATATATAGTCTCATATTATCTTAAGTGTGATATATTAAAAATTTAATATTAGTTTTAAGTATAATTACTTAAATATTAATTTATTTATAACGTTACTTATGTATAAATTACAGTTTCGGTTCGGTTCCGGTTTTAAAAACTGTTCGGTTCATACCTCTAATGAACAATACTATACTATATAATATTAATAATGTCTTAATCAGGGTTAGGATAATACAAGGTATTGGATTTTGGCTTTTTATAATTTAATACACTATAATACAATGCATTGCATGTATTATATATTTTTATAACTAATATATATGTTAAAAAATTAATAACAATTATTTAATAACAATATAATTTTTAGAAAACCGTTATGTTTATAATAATTTTTGTTTTCTGATAATTAAATTAAAATAAATCAAGATAAAAAATAGAAATAAAATAAAAATCTATATTTAATATACAATATGTTAATTTTTGTTTATATTAATATCAATGTTTTATTAATTGGCGTTAACTTTTGTTTTGTATATAAAAATTGTCATCAAATATACAAACATTCTGTCTTTGCCAACCCTGGTATTAATGCTATACAGTATTATGTATTTTAACTAATTTGTTGTATTATTAAACTTCTCAATGCTATCCATTTGTGAATAAAAAGACAGATATTTAAACCCCAGGTATTCAAGTATACATGAGGTATACGGATAAATAAGTGAGAGTGAGTTAAGAGAGAGAGAGAGAGAGAGAGAGAGAGAGAGAGAGAGAGAGAGTTGACAACAAAAGGAAAATATGTGATCTTTTTGACAAATATGTCATATCTTTGAATATCATTGATTCCCCACAGAGAGAGTCTCATCTATAATGAAGACATTGAAAGTAGTTGAGACTTATAAACAGTATATGAGTTCTCTCTTTTTGAATGTCTATTATTGGTGTAAATCTCAAAACGAGAGACCAAAATGTTAACAATGAGTTGAATAGCAGATGAGATCAAGTAATTTGTTTGCAAAATAAACAGTTATTATATTTATTTTGCAAACTAATCATAACATTGCTATTCAGTTCATGACATCTCTTTTATACAAAAATACAAAAATCTTTATAAATAAGTTTATATTATATTATTATTATTAATTCTATTATATAAATTTATGTAAAATATTTAAAGATTATTCTTAACATTAGACACTAATTTAGTGTATTATTTGTAATAATATTAAATTTAAAAAAATATTTTTAAAATATATATATATGTTTTTATTCAATTTATACAAATAAATCTCATTCATCAAATAATACTGTATATCTTTAATTTGATTTTGTTTTATCAATCTTCACTTAAACTGTGCTAATGAATCATTAGTAATGATAATCGATTTTTTAAATAATATGCAAATAATTATTATTTTACAAATATAATTATATAAAATGTATAATTTTAGACTAAAACAATCCTAATTTTTTCTTAGCTATACTTATTATCCCTTAATTTAGTTATTATTTACTGGGCTTTAAAACGAATGACTAGTTTTTCATTTGTATGTCTATTGAGAAGACCTGTCTATTGAAGGACAGGTAGAAGAGCTTAGTGTCAACTCTTCTTATAGTCTGAAAAAGGCGTGAAATTAGAAGAATAAAGACTAATCTAAAACAAGTCATTCACTGAAGATATTTATTCTAAGAATTAGTGACAAATATTTTTGTAAAAGTTTTGTACACTCTTTAGGTGTCCAATGGGTTCCTCTCTTTCTTTCTCTCTCTCTCTCTCTCTCTCTCTCTCTCTCTCTCTCTCTCTCTCTCTAATATTAATGTCAATAAGTTGTATGTGATTTATAGCTTAGAAATATTACAAATATATGTGATTCATATAAAAATTTCTATTTTTAGAAATTGTCATATATTTCAAACTAATAAATCATTAACATAGATATTAATTAATTAATAAAAATAATATTTTATACAAGTATTATAAAATTTTAGGATTAAAAAATTTCAATAGTATTCATAAATTATTCAGATAATCATAAAATAAAATTGAAACCATTTTTAAAAGATAAAAAATAATACGTAGTATTTATATTACTGTATTTTACAGTATTTATAAAAAAGTTTTCAATAAAAAATAAATACATTTTAAATACATGCAAAATAGCGTTAAATGTAAGAATAATGTTTTTTAAGTACAATTGTGTTGAATTTGATCCAAAATACATAAAACAACATAAAAAGGTGTCGTAAAGTAACAACACATGGGTTTTTTGGTAGTGTCGGTGTGTATGTATGTATTAGGTCAGTCCTTTAGGTGATTGTGTACTGAGACATATAAATATATAGACAAATACAAGAGCAGCAAATCGGGCGACCATTTGAATGGTTAACATTGTGTGCTTATATTGTGTTAATCGGGCGTTATGTCAAATAGCAATGCTTTTCTGCTTGGATGCCATCCTATTGTCGGTCACCCACTTGTTATTTTTTACGGGCAAAGACTACCAGTGCTTTCTCAATAGTTAGAGTGACAATACCCGGTGCTCAATATGTTTTCACTTGATTGCAAATCTTAGCGCTTTAAGTTTGATGAAAGCTTAGTTGAAATATAACTAACTGTATAACTGTTATTCATGTGACCAATAGGTATATAATGAGTGTTTGATCGGAAAGGTTTGCTTCGCACGGATATCAGGATTCCTTTGTAAAGAACATTACTCTCAATGTTGGTGTAGTGTCTGTCCTCTTGTTTACCGGTATTACCGACTCAGACATACAAAAAGTCATACTCATACACTCATATATATATATATATATATATATATATACAGCAAACAAATTTTCCTCATATTTACCAATCGGTATAAAAATTATATATATAATAGTTGTTTGCGAGACATATAAATATACAGTATATTTGTGTTGATTTGGATGTTTGTTTGTTTGTGAGAGCATTTGCTTAAACAAAATTTTTTTGACTAATTTCACAAAATATTTAAAAATAGCAAAAAGTGCCACAAATTTTGCCTCAAAGGCTTGTTTGGTGACAACAGTCAGTGAGGATTCTCTCTATCTTTTGACTAAATGCACACATATTTGTTGTATTATAGCTGTAATGGTTTTATAAATCTAGTGATATCTAAGTATAACCCGGTTTCAGTGCTGAGGGTAATAAACAGGTGCTCAATAATATATAGCTTATGTATATATGTATACCATAAATATGAAGAGCCAATGAATTAGATCTGATGAATGTCTCAGTTAGTGTCTCTGTATGACTGAGTCCTAGTTTAATACCTGAGAGACTCATAGTCGAGACAATACAAGGGATCGTCAGGTGTTTGGAGACTGTGATGCAGTTCCTCGCAACACATCTCTTGCCATTTCATGTGATATGTGTCTCACATACAGTTGTCTATAGGCGTGAGCGTATCCAATGGCACCCCATATGACTGGTATCGACTTTACAGCGCAACCAACCATTGGTTGGCACAGCATTTGGCAGAAGGCGTTACTAATGGGAGTGAAGATTGCAGTGAGAAAAATGTTGTGGACTAACGCGTGCCACTTGTCCTCAATCAACGGATCCCATACTAAACCTATTGCTATAACCAAATATCAGTCCTTATCGAAGCCAGTGTTCAAGTGCTCTGTCTCCCTGTGCTCTCGTCATTCAAATTATGCGACAAATAAGTGATTGATTAGTCACTGAATACGACTATTAGTGAAAACAATTAGCAAAGGGTTTGTCTAAACAATGACTGTATTGCCATAACATGTGTTGATTGCAATTAATTGTCATTTCATTAAAAGTTTTCAATTGTTTTTATCACATTTTATTGAGTGTTGTTTCCTATTGTGTCATCACTTGACTGCAACTCCCGAAGCATTTCTGGTCATCAGAATTGCCTCCCAAACCAAATCTCATTTGATAACCAGTGTTACCCACAAGTGCTGTCAAAATTTCGCCCTCACTTACAACCGTAGGCATCGGTTCGGCCGCACCGGACAACTGCAATAATATGGCCGCAGATCCGCAAACATCGCCTCAAAGTAAGTGCTAATACACATAGACATGATATATGTGTTTAGAGGAAAGGCAACAAACATTGCAGTGTGTGATCACATCTGAGATACCTTTTTCCATGTGAGCCGGCTTTAAATGATCGGCGACACTGACTGTCATCCAGTGATGATAGCCTGTGATCCCTATCCTTGTTTGAACGCTCGCTTACACTGTAGTGTACAGTCATATGAAGCACAGGCATACCAGTAAGCACTGGTCAATTTGCTGGCGACAAATGGCTTATCAATTCAGTGTCTATACTGTATGTATACTTTTCACTGCTATGCCTGTGCTCTGTATTTGTCATTTAAGAAGACAGTAAATGTCTCATCACTGCTATTATAATCTCTATTATTGAACGTTCACTGTATATATCACTATATTATACACTGTTTTTTTTGACAATTAGTATCGCTTATTATAGTCACTATTGTTGACTATAATACAGTATATTAACCACACCTTAATTAGCTTTTTATATCTATTTATACAATAGAGAAATTAATATATATATATATATATATATATAATAATGTAGATGCAGTTGTGTGACATTGATATAATAATAGGGCAATAATATGATTGATTTGTTAGGGAAATGGCCACGAATTGCACTGTGCGTTGGATGTGGTACTCAAATATACGATCAGTACATATTACGGGTGTCACCAGACCTGGAATGGCACGCGGCGTGCCTTAAATGTGCTGATTGTCATCAATTTCTTGATGAGTCGTGTACTTGCTTTGTCAGGGATGGCAAAACTTATTGCAAAAGCGATTACTTAAGGTATGTCATCATATAATCTTGTTTTCATATCATTTCAATAGTCATAGACATACAGACACTGATGACTCCATGAGCTCATCCATTTGGATAACATACTAAATATTAATATTACATTACACTGTATATATATACTGTATTTATAAACATTTACTTTTTAAAAGATAGTAAAATAAGTAGTAAGCGTTTGGCACCAAAAACTCATTTTTAGACTATATTTTTATCATTAATTACTTTTATGAATAAATAATATATACTCATATCTGTATATTAAAAACAACAAAAATCTATTATATATCATAAATGTATATTACTTGTGGTTATGATAATGTCATACTTTGGTGTTTGTTTAAAAATATATATATAATAAAACAAAAAATTCATACATACCGGTGTAATAAATTTAAAGCATAATAAATCATAAAAAATTTAATTATCTGATTTTGTAAAATAGGTTTTTTGAATTCAAACAACATTTTATAATAATAACGATTATAAAACAACATTTAGCACAGTTATCGCTCAAAAATGGTTTGAATGGCTAACAAAACGCTGAAAACTGTTTATTGAGATATTGGGATGCATTGAGCATATTAATTACTTATAAATATACATTAAAATGTATTAAACAATTTGATTGTCAAAAGATATACCGGTCCCAGACATATGTCTATTGAAAATGAAATATATTATTGCAAATTGCAATGTCTAATCATTAATTTTTATGGCTATATGTCTCACATTTGAACCTCTCTTTAAACACATAGCTTAACGATCGATATGTTTGTAATTAGTATGAATAGTGTTTGTAAATGTCTAATAGATTAGTAAATTACTAAACAATAAGTCATATCAAAATGATATTACTGTTGTGTTTATAGAAACTATTACTGAAAGCCACTTGAAAGGCTTTACAATCATGCGATCCTCTTTACCATATGATATAAGCATTTTATTAATATATTTATCAACATTGATCCTATGAATTCATGATAATAGTTAGGTAATAATAGTTTGTGTGTATAATATGATTAACACATTTCTAAACACAAATAATAATAACGTAAATCACAATAATAAAATAATAATACATTATTATTATTTTTCATAATTATAAGAATGTTATATAAGTTGTTTGTTTTGGTTATAGTAATAATAATAATATGAAATGAAATATAGATCTAAAGCTATAGTACAGTAATTGAGTTAAATGTAAGTGTATTGTAAAGGGAGAGACAGGAATCGATGCTTGGCTTATAAGTAATAAGTTTATGATTCAAACCACAAATTTGTTAGTTTTTTGGTGAGGCCTGCGATATGCCTTTGACTAACCCATCAGTTACTTTGTGTACATTTCATATAACAGAGTGAATAATTCATTACATATATGAATGAATGGAAAGTCGCGATTGTATGCATAGAGAGAGAGAGAGCAGTTAGGCATCACTGGCAGTACAGCCTAAAGCAAACATCATCTTTCATAACATCTTTATTATGGCCTCACTATAGATATGAACGGCGCCAGCGATGAGCCGATGCAATGGTTTTGGTAAATGCATTGGAAAAATGCAATGCAATCACCAAAATATAAGGAATTTTTCTTTTAACCAATGCATACATTTTTAACTGACAATCACTGCCATCACTGGCTTATGACTATTGCCTATGAATGCTATCACCAAAAGAGTCAAATGCATGGATTTACTCAATAGATTGACAGTTGCAGTCATGTGAAGCCATAACCTAATAATTGATGGACTAATCTTTGAAAGTGCTTCCTAATGATCACAACAAACCAGTGCTCATCATATAATACCATACTTTCTCCCAAGTTTTAACACTTATAGAGATAGAAAAAAATAATACAAATATATGTTTAAATTATTGCTTATTATGCGATGTCAGACACAATTACTCGTCACTTAAGTGCCCTTTTGTTAAACATTTTATGAATCAATTGCTTTTGTTGTACCACTTCTTCATTCGCTACCAATCATTATAGTTATATAACTCATAATAATAATAATTATTACAATTAGATAAATAGTAAATGTGTTATAACTTTAAATATCTTTTGTATGCAGTTAAAACTTAATTGAATTGTAACTAATAATTGAATAAATAATTTTTAATACACCAATTCGGGATAAATTAGTGATTCAACAAAAATCATAGCCATAAATCAAAATTTCCTTATATTTTTTGTGAATTAATTGTTTGAGATTTTTATGTTGTTTACATTTGTTTTTTATTTATTTTATGTGTAAATAATTGTTTATATTGTTTTTATAAATATCTATTAAGGACATATTGCCATAAGTTTATTTAAGTCTATAATGTATACAGTTTTATCACAGGTAATAATGTGCGATAATAATGGCATATAATAGACATTTTAATACAAATATCGGTGATGTATATAAAAAGCTAAACTAATGTTAAAGTTTGTTTCATATCTATCACTTGATTGAGAAGTTAAACAATTAAACAATAAGTGTTAGGCATATAATCACAGTTTGTCTCTCATTTATATCACATTTAGATGACAAACCACTCAAAACTTATAGCTTATAGTTTAAACAATATTTTCACAATTTAACCAATTATTTATATATTTGCATCTAATTAATTCACTAAATTTATTTATCAGTATTATATATTTTATTTATGAAATACGGTATAGAATATCAAATTTTTAACAATACAACCATCTGTTAAAATACGATTAATAATAAAACAAACCCTACAATCAGTACTTAAGTTAAACACCCAAACTATTTGATCTCATTTATCAATATTATTACTATAATTATTAATATTAAATGTTATTTATTATTTCTAAGTTAGAAATTTCTAACTAATAATTGTTTATATTGTTTAACTAATACATTTTACCGTAGCATAATATATTGATATATCAAATTAATGTAATGTTATTTTTAACAGTTTGAAGTTCACTTTGAAGTTTGAACTTTGAACTATTTAAACATTAAAAATTAGGCTTTAAATACAAAATAAAAGTATTTCTAGTTTTTATTTAAAAATATTTCTATTTTTGGCAAAATATTTAATAAAATTCATGTCATAAGTTATGACTATAGTATAAGTTTTCGAATCAATATATTTAAGACAAACATATTTTTTCTTATTTTATTAATAATAAAATAAGTCTAATAAAGTAATAAATCTTTGAATGTTAAACCATAATTCATGTATTATACTGAACTGTATGTATGTGTATGTTATTAAGTTAAAAAATTAATCAAAATATAAAAAATATCTATCACTTCGTTTGTTAAAAATATTTATTAAGTATTTTTTTAATAAGAATTTACTCTTTAAAATTATATTATTTGGTTTTATTGATTTTTTTTATTGATTTTTAAAACTTGATTATCTGAACAAACCTAACCTTCAAATGAGTATTTTTTAAGTTTACTATAATTTTTTGAAATATTTTATTAAATCCTTTTATTGATAATTAAAAACACATTAAATAAATTTAATTGTACAATTATTTTTTTGTTGGTTTATTCAAATGTCTTTTTTAAATTCAAATGTTTTTATTTTTTGAAAACACGATTTTCTTATATTACTTTCAAGTTCTTAGTTTTGAAGCATTGATTTTATTACAATATTATCGCTAAAACATATCTCACTATTAAAGAGTAATAATAATTTCAAATTGATATGAATTTTATTGATTAATTATTTCAGCGATAAATAATATTATTAATTTGAGAACATTTTATTTTATTATCATTTCAATTTGATTTGAAAACTAAGTTATTTATTAAATCATTTAAATGCATAAACAATTTCATCATTTATGTAATTCATAGTAATTATTTACGCATTTATACGCTAATTAAAACCATATTCATTTAATTTATTTGTTAAATTAATTTTTGTTAAATATTTTTATTTCTGTTAATACTAAAAAATATCTTATAAATAATTAAAATATCATAATAGAACTTCTTATAGATATTAATTTATTATAATAATTATTTTTAATGTTATCTAAATTGATTTTTTACATACATTTAAGCTATTGTTTATAAAAAAAAATATAATTTAGATGCATTAATCCAGTGCAACAAAAATTATTATAATTTAAATAAGATGTTTTGTTTTGTTTTAACTATTGAGCAACGTGATTTTATTTCTAATGCATTTGAGAGCTAATTGAGGGAACAGTTGATAAAAAGCTTATTTTTTTTATCAATTTGTATGCCTCACAAATGGGTCTCACCCTAAAGTGTCTGTCTCTATATGTCTATGTCTTTTACAATTAGCTTTATTTTTCTCTCAATTTAATGCTATATTTTGCGAGATTTTTGTTGTTGTGTTTTCGGCCACCTTTTCTTTATGAGTGGAAGTTTTGAGAGACTATAATAATAATAATAAGCAAAAAGAGGAGTAAATAATTTCAAATATTGATTATTATTATTATGTGTTGTGTTTAAGGCTTTTTGGTGCGAAGTGTGCCAACTGTTCAAAGAGTTTCAGCAAAAGTGATTTAGTGATGAGAGCCCGCAATAAGATCTATCACATCGACTGTTTCCGATGTATTGCCTGTTCCCGACAGTTGACTCGTGGAGACGAGTTTGCACTCAGAGATGACGGCCTATTCTGTAAAGTAAGTGCAGACACTGTTTAACAAAACAATAGTCGACTCTATTATATAACAGTTGTATAGGTATATGTCCTTAAAAAACTAATGGCACTGTCATTATTTTGTTTGCACCCATAGGCACATCATGAAGAGTTTGACAAAAGCGGCTCAATAGCCGACACCAACAAAGATATTAATACACCAAATGGTCTGTCGTTAAGTAATGGTCCAAATGGACCCAACAGTGATATTAATGGTAACAGCATTTCGCCCAACTCTGGAGCTCACCTTCAAATGGCAGGTAATGTATCTTAAATTTAACCACTTTTACTGCATAACTACTACCACACCATTACTTTTATTATTATTACATTTATTGCCATTATTATGATTATATAAATCAAATTCATTCATTCACATCAATAGACAATAACACATATTTTTATTGTTTTAATGCATTTAGTATTTTGTTATTGCATTTCATAAATTAATACAATATTATATTTAGTAATATTTTATGATTGAAATATTTTCCCATAATTGTTGCTAAAAATTTATTGCATTCAAACTGTTTCATTGTTTTTATTTTGTTTTTGTTGATAATTAGTTAGCTGTATATAATGTATTTCAATCAATTTATGATAATATTAAATCTATATAATGCATTTTATCTAATTAAACATTATGTATTTGTTTAATAAATAATGTTAAATAACCATATTTAAATAAATAAAAAAAAACATTGTTAAAATTATACAAAATCATAATTTATTCAGTATTATATATCTTAACAATTTTAATATTAATCTCCAAAAACATAAATACATATTCAAATATTATACATAATTATAAATCAACCAATATTAATATACAGTATATACTGCAAAATATATACAATATGTTAGATAATAAGTAAAACGATGCAAAAATCAATACAAGCTTTTTAACTGAACTTTTTATTTGACAATTACTGTCATTTAAAAGCAAATATTGTTTAATGTGACGATTGGGAGGGTTTGGTATCTCTCTCTCTCTCTCCCTTTCTTTCTCTCTCTCACTCACTCACTCTTAATGTGTGTCTCTCTTATAATGTTTAAACACCTGATTAATTCACACGCGAGACATGAAATCTGAGTCCAATGTTTGACCGTTGCTTATAACTGAACTAACATTTGCTTAGTTTTCAATTACTTTAGTTTGAAGTTTTGTCAGTGATTTTTCTCAATATATGAAACATTAATTCAAATTCTTGACTAACAAATAATAATAATTATTATAATAAAATTATTTGTTAAGTTACAGCCGAACCCTTACCAATGGTCAGACATCGAGAGGGTCGACCAAGTGTTAAACATAGTGCCGAACATAAGCCGACTCGGGTTAGGACTGTATTGAATGAGAAACAATTGCATACATTGAGGACATGTTATAACGCCAATCCACGTCCCGATGCTCTCATGAAAGAGCAATTGGTCGAAATGACCGGATTATCGCCCAGAGTTATCAGAGTCTGGTATGTATTGTTTTTTACAAAACAAAATTTTATATTTAATAGTCAACTATTTTTTATTTAATAAATAAAAATCATTACAAAAACATAGGTTTCAAAATAAGAGATGCAAAGACAAGAAACGGAGTATATTAATGAAACAAATGCAACAACAAGAAAAGGTATGTCAAATACATATCATTTGCATATTATTATTATTATTTTGCTATGAATTTGTTGTCACTATTTTATTATTATAAAATTAATGCAACAAAAAATATATATTTGCGAAAAATACCAAAAATTTAAGCTAAAGAATAGAGAAATAATAATAATAATAATATTGAATAATTAACAATTGCTATCACGTATACAATGCATGTGATTAAAAGTCAGTCATTGCAACTAAAAACCCAATGCCATACACATACACACCATAGAGAAGCAATAGTACTTTATTTTTATTTTTTGAATTAAGGTTTTCAAGTAATTAACTAATTATTACATACATACACAGTGTTATTATTTATTATGTCATTTTAAGCGTAATAGTAATTATTTAATAAATACAGCAAAAAATAATAAACTTTTTAACAACATATATAGTATATACAGTAAAATAGTTACAATAGTAATATAAATGTGTGTAAAGAAAATAAGCTTTATTTTATAATAGTTCAAACAAATATTAGATTTATTATCGTAAAGATTATAGATTTATAGATAAAACACACTTTTTGAAGGATATGTGGCACTCATTTTTTTTCTCTCTCTCTTTCTCTCTGTTTGTGTTTATTTGAAGTTTGGTTTGCACAACGTTTTTATGTAATTTATATCTTTGTTTGTTATATCGAAAGGATAAGCAGTGTTGTGTTAGGTTTGGTTGTTGGGCTGAGGTGTCTGAGCTGGCAGTCAGTCATTGAGAAGCATATAATATATAGTAGAGAGTAGTAGAGTAACTGATGATTCTTTTCTTTGGTTAAAATAATTAAAAAGACTGAACTAAGAGATTGTACAGACATTGGGTGTTGAACTATATGTTTGATGTGTGGCACCGACTATATTACAACTACTGTATATATATGTGTGTTTGTGCGGAGTATGTCATGTTGTATGGCCTCTGATCTAACGTTACACCACTAACTCATGGGTGACAAAGAACAGTAGCCTAAGAAATGTGAAGACTTAATGTCTAAAAGTAATCTCTGATATGTGTGTATGAAAAGCACTAATGCATCACTTTATTCATTCATTCATTGCCACCAAAATTGTTTGTCTCTTTTTATTTTTAAATAGTAGTGAATATTCACATAAATATAGTCACATTAAAAAAGCGGCAATTTTTTAGGCGATCCATTAAAATCTTTTGTAAAGCTTAATGTAAAGAAAAAAGTCCATTACTTAAAAAATATATAATTGTATAAAAGCAATCATTTTTGTAAATTTGTGTTAAATAATACATACAATTTGATCGGCGCTCTCTCCCGGCACTGTTAGCTTCTGGAGTACTGTTAGCAATGATAGTTTAGTGTGTGGGTAACTGTGCTGAATATTAGATGGTGAGAGAGAGAGAGAGATGTCGATTTGAATACATATATTTATAAATATATAGCAATGTAATTGTATGATATTGAATGGCGGGCCTAATAGTTGAATCTAAATGTATTTGTATTGATAGTAATATATGCCTTAAAAGCACTTTTTCATATCCCAAACCATTCTGTGAGTGTGTGTCTCATAAAGGGCTACACATTAGTGAAATGTTTTTTAAAGAATCGCTTTACACAATCTCTTTGGCAATAGTTGTGCCAACAATTGTATAGACGTATAGATATGCCAACAAAAACTGCATCCCTTTTGTATTGATAAGTAAGCGCTCAAAAAAAGCAAAGAGACATTGCTTTAATGTTGAGCGCCTGGCTCTTTAGACTGAGCTGGTCAACCGTATACCGGTGCCCAATGACTAAACTCTCAATGCTATGCTATGATTGCTTCTATGCTATTGCTCTCCAATACTTAGATCATTGAGTATAACATTTCTCTTATTTTTAATGGCATGCCTTTCAATGCAAACACACAAAGCTTTATGAAATGTAGTAAAAACAGAATAATGTATATAAACTTTTAGTTATGTTATATTATATTATTATTATGTATATATAGAGTCAAAATGTTGTACACAAATATTACACAAATAAATTGGTTTATGCCTTATATAACGAGATTAATTATGAGATATACTGAACACATTGAGCACATTGCCACAGCACTGGCAGCTCTCTCTCTCTCTCTCTCTCTCTCTCTCTATGTCTGCAATGACAGTACAACTCCTACATCCAACTGAGCTCTTTATGAGATTAAACGAAAAACTGCACACAATTTTTGATGCATTTTACCAGCACTCGAATGATGGTCCCAATGGACATGTATCTGCTCTCCTCCCAAAAATACATGAAAGCATTGTTACAATGGATCGGTACCTTTATCTAGTTATCATACCATATGATTGTGTTTTGAGAGGATCGTCCTAAAAGTAAAGCATCAGCTCTTTACTGCAAACATTGAAATTGCTTATCTGTGTTATTAATATAAACCATAAGTCTGGTCCTTATCTACGATATTTCAAGAGCTGGTGTTTTACCCATCTCTCAGTTGGTGACCAATTGGTACCGATAGTACCCAATATAATGATACAATTTTTTTGTCTAACTTTGTTAAATATTAATAGCATAATCATGAGTAACTATAACCTAATATGTCTCACGGGCACTGGTGTATCCCCTTTTCATATGATATTTAAATATAACACTCAAAATTAAATAAAAGAGACTTCATTTGACAATTATTGTGTTATTTTGTATATAAAACATACAATACATTGCTTGTCATCTAATCTAATGAATAGCAATAGCTGTAAGGCTTTGACCATTTGGTCTTATAATACATCTGTATTTGTAACTAATGTTTGATTAAAGTAATACATAAATTAGTTTTTTAAATGAATTTTTTTAAATAAAAAGATTTTATGTTAAAAACTGTCAGATTTGCCGGAAGGGATAATATGCTGTATATATAATACTATTGATATATACAATATATATATATATACAATATATATATATATATACACCTCTCAAATATGATGTGATCTCATCTCATCGGTTTACATGTAATGGTAGGGCAGATGTTATGGGACCAACAAAATTGTTCAAAAAAAAGTCCCGACGCTTCTCCTAATTGTTTCGCTCGCTATTACAGTGTTGGCTCATTCGCTAAGAGAGTGCAACAAAAAGATGCTTATCTTGAGATGCCGTGCCGTGTGGGCCGAAGCCACCGATTTTCATCAAATGCATCTCTAGAGAGCCATATCATTGCTAACAATCAGTCGGCAATTCATTTACAGATAAAGAGTCTCTCTCTCTCTCTCTCTCTACTATTTGTCTGTTCATAACCTTATTTGCACTGACGCTAGAAAATCAGTGTATTCAGTGATTGTCAGTAAAACAAACTGAGCCAACAAAACAATACATTGAAGCTATTTGTCATTGTTATGGATACCGTACCATACAAGTGGCCAAACATATAAATCATACACCAGTTTCACGTGTACTGTAACTATCACTTTAGCTTTAAATAAATGTATGAAACCATCATTTCATATAATGACATAAATTTATGAAATTGTATACACAATATAAACTCGATTTATCAATATTTCAATCATATATTATATTATATTATTAGATATGATTGATTAGCACTATATTTAAACCCTTTTGCATAAATTTACTACAATATTGATTAACACAATCACAATACCATTTCAAAAATTTTAATCTAAGCATTTGCTGATGTATTTTAATTGTAATACTTCTATTTAAGATATATATAATTTTGTTATTAATAAATTATATAAAGTAATAAATATATATATATTTTAAAATAAATTTTAATTTAATAGTTATTTAAAAGCGTTTAAATAAATAATTCAGATTTTATATTAATAATTACAATTATCACAGCTTTTAACTAACTTATAACTACATTTTATTTTTTAACCCTAAAGGTGAACATAAAGATAGAAATTTTTCCTTTAAAATTTATATTTTATTTATATATACATTATATTATTTAGTATATATATATATATATTTATTTATTTAAACTATAAACTATACAATATATAAATATAATATAATATAAATTTATGAAAATACAGTATGATATTGGAGATAAACAAATTTTTAATATATAAATTGCGAAACAATATATTATATTTTTGTATTTACGACGCTTTTAAAAATAAATTTATAATCTGTATACTATATATATATATATATACTGTATATACGCTATAGTATTATATATAGATTGAGAAATGGATGGGACATTAGAAGAAAATAAGTTATAATAATTTTTAAAAATATTTTACACTAAAAGCATTGCTGTTTTAAAAGCTCAATGTTTTTGGACTTCACTGACTTGTCAGTAGTAATAGTAGTGATGTTAACGTAGTATAAATAGTATATATTAAATATAAATATTATTATTATTATTTACAACTTTAAAGTCAGAGTCGGGAGTCTCTATGAAAATATTGAAAACAGGAGAAATGGTTTGTCTATTAGGACCTCTTTAGATGTGAGTCATGTGGAGCAGCACTGGGATGAGTGAAAGACATGAGATGTGAGACATAAGAGAGTGGATGCAAGTGTGAGAATTGGCTTTTCTGAAGCCAATGCACTCCTAATGGCATTCAGTGTTAGACACTATTGAAAGCACTGAAAATATGGAGAGTTTGTAGTGTAAGGTTAGGCCAACCGTAACGCATAGCATATAGATATTAATGCCGCCCCAACTGTGCGCTCCCGAAGCTTATAATACATTTACTCATAACACTAAATGTATGTCTTTTCAGAGCCATAATTTAATTATTAATTTTTTGGCCCAAAAAATAGCGTATGTGTGTTAGTGACTGAAAAATGTCAAAATCTATTTGAACGGGCATTTGAAAAATCATTTGTAATCAAATCAAATACTTTAATGCATTCAACTTCTCTCTCTCTCTCTCTCTCTCTCTCTCTCTCTCAATATATATACGGTATATAACTATACGAATACAATAATTGCCATTTAAGTGAAGATTTTCACTCAAGAGTTATTCAGTACTGGAACTGACAGGTCTGCAACTGGAGATCACACAAATGTTTGGCTAATTGTTGTCTATAGTCATAGCTTTTTTAAAGTATTGCATTTACTAGAGAAATGGCAATAATTGTAATCATAATAGTAATGATAGAGCGCTTTATTACTGTATTATTATGATTATTCATGTATTGATTCAAGTGATGCATTCATAACACAGTTGATGTAAACGTGTAGAGAAAAGCATGTATTCAACTCTAAGTGCATATTATATGTATTGCACAACAAAACAATTGGAAACTCCGGATCCATGAATGTTATGTATGTTATGTATTATAAACACAATAATATATATTGCAATTGAGATGAATGTCATGTTGAGTACGGTCTCAAAACTTGCAGTTATGTCAGTTGTTGGCCCTATTCTGACGCGTGTCTCAATGCGGGAGTGAGACCTTGTGTTAGGCCTGAGCCACACGTGTCTGTATATAAAACTTGGGAATTATCGGCTTTTGTATGCCTCTCAATGTCACAAACTTTGTCTATTATATACATATAGTTTATATATATATATATAGTTCGGCAGTTCATTAAATGCTTTCATTTTTCTCCCAAAATATTAACCATTTCTCTCACATTCTCTTGAAATGTGAAAAAATTATTTGAGGAAAATGTTGTCAATAGTATACATACTATATATAGTTTACTGTATTTGTATTAATATATACTATGAATTCAGGAGACTCACCGACGTTATGCACAAAACTATATTATTATATTATGGTTTGCGTGTCTCATCCCCCGTATATTGATATATTGCACCCACGGCTCGGTTATGGTCTCGAGGATAGTGACTGATAATAATGCATTGTCTCTCATACATGTGGTTGCGCGTAACGCGTGCCGTTCACGTGTGTCACGCAAACCTTCAATTTTTACCTGTGTCAATTTTGAGCTATACTGTAATACTGTAATAACAATTGCATTGGACATAAAAACTACAAATCACAACAATCATGACTAATCATTATTACTATCATTTTGTTTACAAAACTTTAGACTATATTATTATTACTCCAAAATTTTCACAGACTTTATATTCAAAAAAAAAATCTGATGGGAAATTATTTTTTAAATAGTAATAATAATATATTTTATCTATTATTTATTTTATTTCATTTACAGTATAAGTTACTGTATTTTGAACAACACATCATATGCGACCATAAAAGTCAATAATTGTTTGCTTTGATATATGATTTTTTTTATGTTATATAATTTATGATATATTTTTATTTTATTTTTGATAAGTTATATATATTTTTATTATTTATTCACAGTATTCAATGGTCGCATACAGTGATTCTGAGTACACAACCGATTATTCCCCGGTAGGCATACACACCACCAAACACTATGCCTATGCATTCATTTAACTTTTTTATTAATATTTCACATATTTTTATTAATATTTATAAAGACTTCTTCAATATATTGAAAAATTGTGTTAATTTCAATATTTTAGCTAAAATTTACATTACTGTCGCTCTCTATTTCTGACACTACTTGCGATTTAATTTATTTTGTTATCTTATTTAAATTAAAATTAATAAAATAATAATTGTTTGTATAGGATGGTCGACAATTGAACTTATCATCGATGCGTGGCGTACCCCTAATAGCGACGAGTCCAGTCCGTCATGAAAGTCCGATTCAAGTAAACCCATTGGAAGTACAAACCTACCAGCCCCCATGGAAAGCACTGGCAGATTATGCACTACAGCCTGACATTGATCCCAATGCGCCTCACTTTCAACATCTAGTAAATCAGGTAAGAGTCGGTTACAACCAATTACTTGATTGTCATTTTGATGTTATAAATATAATGTCATAAATGTGATGACACAGAGAGTGACCGACTAATCAATTGATGGGTCGGTTTTTATATCCCGTTACTGTCACAAACTCTTTGATGTCTCAAATTGTTTTATTACTGATTTACGCCCTAAAACTCTACAATAACAACAATAACAAACATTTCAATTATTATACCGCTATATATAAATCCGGATCAATAATATTTGTTCAATAACTTTTGAACTTCAAATTATGCCAACAATTGCTTTATTATTATTATTATATATACAGTATATATGTTTGTGTCGCCAAACTTTTAATTTATTGTCGATCAGGTTTGATGACAAACACAAATACATTGCATATATCATATAAAAATCAAAACGATTATGTGATTTGAATATAAATTAATTTTTTTCTCAAAATAAAACTTTAACAAAAATAGAAATTCATTTATATTTTATCTATAATTTATTCTTTGTGTTATTTTTGTATATATTTACTTAAATACAGCCATTGCCTATATATATATATATATATATATATATATATATATATTTGAAAAATCCAATGAGACGCCTACAGGAGCTCATATAGTCTGTCTGTCTTAATCTCTTGACTAAAAAAACTTAGATTAAAATTTGCCGTAAAAATAGCCAAAAGCATATTATATACCAATGTTATATTAAATTGATTATAGAAAAACTGAGCTTATTTTTTAATAATAATATCAATATATAGCCAAAGATCAGCCAATTTTATTATTATATTAAATCAATGATTGAATGAGGAGATCCTCTAAAATAAACAGTGTTTTGATACAAATCCAAAGCCAACATAGGGTTTGCAAAATAAGATGATTGTCGTTGTGATTGCAATATTTTTTGTGACAATTGTTTGCACAAACATTATATGTTTGGTCTAAATCAACAGCCCTTAGGTGGGTCTCAGGAGACAAAATGCCAAACTTTGTCAGTGATTTACTTTTTTTATGTTACTCTCTATTATATAACATAAAGTCCGTATTGTTGGTGACTATCACTGATTGTTGACCCATACATACCAAATATAAACCCAATTATATAATACAAACAAAAGAGAGTATGACTTCAGGCATTCATATATTAAGATTACATTTAGTATAACAGCGTCTGAAGTATTGCCACAAAAAAACACGGATCACTTGAATTTATATTAAATATACACATATTTATCATTTGCCCCTCAGTTATAAAAAAGTTAACTTTACTTGAAATTTGATTAAATTAATGGAAATCATCGTAAAATAATTATAATGTATATAAATAAAATATAAATATAATTTTTATTGAAATTAAATTTGCATATATGATATTTTATTTTAACGTTTGAATATTATAATTTTTGTTCAAAATTATTTTAATTAATGTTTTTTACTATTTTTTTGAATGAAAGCGTAAAAATTATTAGCAATACAGACCTGTCATTATAATATCAAATTTATATAAATTATAGCATTTAAGCTACCAATCAGTGTATTAAATATACATTACAGTCAAAATGTGATAAAATAATTCATTAATACCAGAAAATGCCATTCATTAAAAAGCTATAATAATTATCGGCATAATTACTAAATTTTTTGGATAATTATTGAGACAACGATTAAGACATTTTTAACTGAGATCAGTCAAACAGATAGACATATAGACAGCAAATGCAATATCTATTTGAAACTTAAAATACTGGTTTTATTATCACTTCAATCACATGAGCGGCTCCTTTAAAAATAGCAAATATCTTGAAAATAGTCTGAAAAGTCAGCGGGAGATCACTGCTCTGGACGTCATTCCCAGTGATATACCGACACCTTTTTAAATTGAAATATTGCATATGATATTTGATAAATATATCAAAATGTTAAAAATCGGCTCATTTAACGATGCTTTTGTGTGCATCCATTCAAACATCAACTTTGATAATGTAATGAATGACTTTAAATGAATAATATAACATATCTTTTGGCACTTTTTTGAGGCACATCCATGTATTTTCACTCAATGTTTTTCTCATTGCATTCACTGTCATTCAAATTCAAATTTTATATTTGTTTTAAATATAACGCATATTTTAAAATGTGAAATACAATATTTGTTTTTTTAAAAATTATTTGAGTAGAAATATATATTAAAATAAAATTTAAATATTTATTAGATGCACGGTTATACGGACATACCTCCCAACGAAACATCATTGTCATCATTACATGGCCCTCCAACTGGTCCCTGTACACCAATGTCTTATTTAGGTTTGTTATTATTTTTTTTATAATAAAAAACAAATATTTTTAAAAAATAAAATAAAATTTATGAATAATAACTACAATCCAATTGGTATGACAGATGCCGATCTACACCAACCTCACAGTCATCTCTCATCAGACCTGTCGAGTCCCTGTGCCAGTGATTGAGACATAAATTATATTAATATATAGATAGTTATCTAAAAACACTGTTAGTTCCTGAGAGAAACAATACAAATATAAATATATAAATAAACACCAGATATGAACATATAATACTATTTGTGTAAATTATATTTTGTTTTTATTTTAATCATTTCATTAACTATTATTAGTTTATACTAACGTTTAAACTTATTATTAATAAAGAGTAGCCTTTAATTATTTAATTAAATATTTACAACAGATAAAAACATAACAATAATGTAACACTAATTTTGTATAATTTAATTTCTGTTTGTTATTATTCAGTAATTAATAATTATTTGTTGTCCAATATATTTATCTTATTTTTTATCAAACGAAAAAATGACAAAATATTTAATGAAAGTATTTTTTAGATAAAAATAAGCATTTTATTAAGTTGTATATATTTATACATATAATATTAAAAATTAATAATAATTTCACTAATTATATGATGTTTCTCAACTGAACGAAACAATATTGTAATATAAAAAATAACAATTATATAGTATATTATATTAAATTTGATTTCATTATAGTAAAAATTATGTATAAAAAATATTGTAATTTGTATTTAAAAAATAATAATATTGACTAATAAATAACAAATATTATAAAACGTAAAATTGTTTAACAATTGATAATTTACTAAATATTTTCAATTGTTGGTATGATTTGTAAATGACTTACAAATTGAGTACTTATTTACAATAATATTTTAAAAGCAATGAAGTTTTAAGTCAAATATGATTTTTTTGAAATATAAGTCTATTGTCCATCAATAAGGCATTTGCCACTAATAAAGGTATTAAAGTTATTAGAGGAAAGGCATTCACTTTTTGACGTGTAGTCAATATGAGGTGTGTCAGGTGCTGCTCAGGTGTTGTTCAGGTGCTACTATCATAGTCTATATATTTTTATTCAGTGGGTTCACCTCTTCTAGAGGACAACCACTTCTCAGATAATAGATTTTTAAATAAAAATAAGACATTCAGACATTCAATTCACTACAACATGGCTTTTGTGATACCAAATCTACACAATCAATATGTACACTATATGTATATGTATGTATACAGTACAGTGTAATATATAATATACAGTATATATTCAATAGTGTACATATGAGAGCCCATTGTGTGTACATTATAACTACAATGTATGACATGTATGTATGTCTGTAGGTATGAGCACAGCTGCCTTTTCTAAATATGTATTTTTTCACTACAAAAGAGTCCAAACATTTGCCAAAACTGACCAAAAAAAAAACAGAAAGATTCTGTGGTATAGTTGTTATACATTATATTGATAGACATGAAGCCAACAAAATAAAGGGTTCATCTCTAGGGGTGGTCACCGACTTGTATGCATAAAAACTAAATAACTTTGCAATATCTCTCAATAGTATTGTAATATAATAATAATATATTTATGAATAAAATACAAAAAAATTGTCTGCTATTCAAACAATAATTTGTATATTCAGTGACTGCAATATAATCATTGCATTTTAATACTACTGTACAATACAATAGCCATAATATGAACTAAATGTTGAAATATGGACTCAACTTTTCTTCAGCACTTCATTCAGTTCAATGAGTAGTCGTTTAGAGGTATAACTACTGGAGTCTTATATTATTTTGTGCCCAATATTTATTGTTATTGTGTCCAATACCTCACTAATGTTAGGTAATTTGGTTGCCATTCAATAGCATACAAAGTGCATCACAAAACATCAAATAATTCTGTATTAACAGTGTGACCAACTTCTACCCTTGAATTTTATTTATTGATTAATTTTTTGCTGAAATATTTTTAAAATATTTAAATATATTATAAATTAAATCTTAAATTACAAATCAAAATTCATCATACTTTTAAACCTTTGAATCATATTTATTTTATTTGTTTTATTAAATTTATGTAAATTGTTTAATTAATTATAAATATTGTATTTTCTCATACATAAAAATAATTATTATTATAAATTATTTTTATGTAAATATAAAATGTTATATTAATTTTTATAGAAATTAGTAGACATAAAATTATAAAACGAATTGAATTAAATTGCAGTGTAATTAATATAATTATTGTAATGTTAAATAATTGTGTGAATATATACTATCCATGATATTTTTCAGTAATAATAATAATAAGCTTATATTGATAATCATTTATAGCCTAATCTTTAAGATAACATTAAAATCCTTTAATTTCAAGACAATAACTTGAGTGTTGGTAACTCTGGATACTGTATAATACAGTTGAGTACAGTATATATAATCCTTAGTGAATGAACATCTTGTTGTGTATTCCGCCTATTCTTGAGTTTCGGCAACCAATAGACTAATAGTGAAGGAATGCAAACATCGATAGCTATTATATAAAAGCTTTGGAAACGCCTTATTATGGATTAGTTTTCATTGCTTTCTGATCGTCAAAAAACTCACACACTTTGACTTCACTGACGATAACAACGACGGCTACTCTATTTATCACAGACACTACCACCACATCCTTAGGTATTTTAGACACTTCTGGAGAGAGAGAGAGAGAGAGAGAGAGAGAGAGAGAGAGAGAGAGACTAAAGCATTGGTGCAACACATATGACAGTTATAGTGATGAGCCATTGAAGTTCATATATTGGTGAAGACGAGAGGCCAGTCTAATAGCTATAAGGAATAGCCAACAGATAGTCATAAAGGAGTCGCAACAGTCATAAAACAAGTCGGACTCTCATCTGACAAATAGACAAAAGTGCCGACAAATGTGGACCACCAGTGCATTGGCGTCTCTGTCGCACGGATTCACTGTTTAGTTTCATTTCAAATTAGTCGCCAATACTATCATATTATTATTTTGTCGACTTTTCATCTGATCTTTTAATGCATATTATATACAGTATATGTGTTGGCTTTTAGCTAAAACAACATATTTTTATAAACAATGAAAGCATATATGCATACAAATATTATATATGAATATTCATATATATATTTTTCTTTCTTTCTTTTTCTTTCTTTCTCACTCACTTACTTACTCACTCACTCACTCACTCACTCACTCACTCACTCACTCACTCACTCACTCACTCACTCACTCACTCACTCACTCACTCACTCACTCACTCACTCTCTGACACACTCACTCACTCACAATTTTAACGTCTGTAATATCTCACCCGCTAACTACTAACTCACTCACTCTCTTTCAGTTTGCTTAGCGATAGTCACTCTAAACTCTAGTATTATAGTCACTTTACTCTCTCTTACTTTGCTCTCTCTCTCACTCACTCACTCACTCACTCACTCACTCACTCACTCACTCACTCACTCACTCACTCTTTCAATCATTTATTCATTGACTCACTCACTAACTCACTGTCTCTCTCTCAGTCACTCTCTAATGCATAGAGTATATGCTTTTAATGTATGTTTTATCGATGCTTTTGAATGTTGTTTTCAATGCATTCAAAATACAGTTCATAGAGTCGTATGTAAAGTGACTTTTCGTGTCATTTCACGTCTTTATACGAAAGTATAGCTATATTTTTGTGACTAATATTATTGAATTGAGCGCTCATTCACTCAAAAACATTTAGCTCATGCCTTACCTCCGATGGCATATCATATTAGATAACTCTGTGTTTGTATTAAAGCTTTTCGTCCTCAGTATAGTCAACAAACCCGACATTAGAGTACCGATAGATTAAATGGTAAACTCAAAGCCCATTGTATTTATATTAGACTTAACAAACTCAACAATACTTTACGCAATTTTAGCCTTAAATTTCCGGTCAAAGCTGTCAATCAAAATGTTACTAAACAATGATATAATACTTCATTATAAACATCCCTCATCTGATATAATTAATTTTATCATTTGTTGTAAAATTTTATATATATATAAAATTTTGTTTTTATATGATAATAATAAATAATATGACAAATATGTATAAATTTTAATAAAAATAAAAGTATTATATTTTACTCCTAAAGTGTAATAAAATTTATCATTTAGGATAATTATTTTATTTTAATTATTTATTTAATATATAAATAATTATATTATACAATTAATAAATATGTGACATTATATAGTTCAAGATAATTGAAAATTATTTAATTATTTAGAGAAATAAAATAATACACTAGAATAAAATAATTAAATAAAAATAATATTAAATATTATAGAAAATTTATATCAAATACTAAATCATCATTTATCGAAAATAAGTAAAATTATGTTATTTTAAATTACAAAAAAAATATTTTGAAATACAAGAACTTAAATGTAAGTTAGATATAGTATTACTATTAGCGGGCAATAATGGCAACAGTGGTAATAGTGGCCGTATTAGTGATAATCCGTTATCCAAACTAAGCCGATGTCAATCAAAGACGTGCTGAAGTGGCAAATGTGTTGAATCACTGCAAACCACTTCAAGCGTTAAATTTGAGCCAAAGAGCCGATAAATATATGCTTTAAAATACACAGCAATGCGTGCAAAACGATAGCCTTATATTTTTGGTGTTAAATGTGTATTAAATTAAACTATGATAATAATAAGTTGCGTTAAAATACACTTATATTTTTTGTTAGACACACTCTCATGCATTGATGAGACCACACAAGCCGTCCACTTTCACACCGACGGCTGGGAATAATACGAGTGACAAACATATGTCTTGTAAGCATCAGTGGATCAACTCAACAATATGAGTGAGTGAGTGAGTAAGTAAATGAGTGAATGAGTGGATAAGTGATGAATAAAAAATCAATTAAACAGATGTATTGAGCCGTATAAATGATGTGCAATAAAAAATCATTTCCATAACAAGTCTGAAGTTTATTATATGTGATATTTATAGATATTTGCTTTCAATGTGTGTGTATATACTGTATATACAATACACTATTTTTTGTATTGAAAATAGTGGCATAAAAACTACCCATTTATTTATCGAGTCTTTTATTTCTTGGAGAGAGTGAATGATTCAATAAGTGAGTGGTGTTTGTGTCTCAAGTTATTGATCGACAATCGATTTGATGGTAAGGATGGAGA